TCTTTGTGATTTTGAGGCCGAGGATTTTCCCATTTTCTGCGGATGGAATGTTTTGATTGTTGACCATGATTGGGTAAGGTCTGTGGTTAGCTATATGAATTATCTTCAGTTTTTGTGTGTTAGTTTTAATTTTTCATTTCCTTTCATAATTGTTTATGGTTTCTATTTCTCGGCTAGTTATGATTGCCATCATTTGTTTGGATTTCCCTGGGTATTGTATATATGATGTATAGTGTTGGTGATATGTTGCTGCCTTAGGGTACTCCACTGTAGAGGGTGAAGTTTTGACCTATGTAGTTGTCGATGGTGAGTTTGCATTGTCTGTTGTCAAGGAAATTGCAGAGGAGAGCTGTGATGTTGGGTGGCATGTTGAGTTGAATGATCTTGTATTTGAGCCCTTCATGCCATACTTTGTCGAAGGCTTTGCTGACATTTCTGAGTACGTACTATGTTACATTGGTTTCTGTTGCTGGCTGCATTTGCGATGGATTCATATATTAAGGCTATTGCAGTGTTGGTGCCTCGGTTTTTCCTGAAGCCGTGTTGTCTGTGGTTGTATTTGTCTTCATACTCTAGGTAGTTTCTTAGTCTCGTTTATTATTTTTTCAAGGATTTTGCCAGGTGTTTCGAGGAGTGAAATGGGTCTGTAGTTTTCTGCCTGTGTTGGGTTCTTTCCTTGTTTTGGGATGAGTCGTATTTTTGCCTTTTTAAATTTGGATGGGAATAATCCGCTTGCTATTGATGCATTGAAGATGTCTGCAAGCTGTTCTATCATTGGTGGTGGTATGTTTTGCAGCACAGTTTTGTTTATTTGACTTATTCCTGGTGATTTATTCTTGAAGCTGGCAATTGTTTTTGTGATGTCATGTGTAGTTATTAGAGCAATTAGTGGGTCGTTATTGTCTAACGTGTTGAGGTTGATTGTCCTGGATTGTTGCCATTTGTCTGTGTTTTGGTTCAAGTGTGTTTCCACCAAGTGTTCTGTTTCTCTGCAAACGTTTCGGTTGTCCTCATCCGTGATTTGGTAGATGCTGCTCCAGAATGTTCTGAATATTGGTTCCTTGAGTTTAGGTTCTGTAATCTTCTTGCCATTGTTGTCTATAAGGTAGCTGCTCTCCTCTGAGTTGGTTCCCATGAGATTTTTTATTTTAGTCCAGAAGGCTTTTGGGTTTCTGTAGTCTGCTTGTGTGTTGGTTATTAGCTAGTTCCATTTCTCGTCATGTTTGACTTTGCATCTCTCTAGTAGTTCTTCTTTAAGATTTCTATATAATACAGCGATGTGTGGGCTCCAGCCGTATGTTTTTATAAATTCATGTAGGTCGGTGAACCTGGTTTGGATGATTTTTTCTTCGTGTGTTAATTGTACATATGGTAGTGTGCGATATGTTGTTTTTGGGGATGTTGTTTTTCATGGCTATTGTGATTTTCGAATACCAGGTTTCTAAGGCAATATTGATCTCGTTGGTGTTTTTGTTGTGGAGAGTTATTGTTTCGTCGGTGTTGAGAGCTGTTTTGAAACTTTCCCAGTCAGCTCTATTAAATAAATATCTTGGTGTCGAGGGAATTTGTATTGGAGATGAGGAAAAAATTGCTATTATGGGTATGTGGTCACTGGTGCTGGCGGGTACAGGTTTTATGTGTGTGTGAAAATGGTGGTGTCTGTTTGTCAGAATTATGTCGGGATTCCCAGAGTTTCCCGGTGTTATGAATGTTTGAAAGTCTGGGCCTAGGTGTGTAATGCTGCCTTGCTCAATTAGGTTGTGCAGTACTACTCCAACAGGGTTTCTGTTGTGATATCCAAGGGTTGGGTGTCGAGAGTTCAGATCGCCTAGAAAGTACGCCGGGCTGTTTCGCCTGGTTAGTTTTAGGAGGTCGCCTGTCGGGAGTATTGGTCTTCTGAATGGTAGGTATGATGTTCCTATTATTGTTGATCTTTTGGTGGTGTTTATTTCTACTGCCAGGAAGTTACCTTGGAAGCTGTCAATTATTTTGTGTTGAATCGTTCGTTTAATTGCTATTGCTGTCCCGTCATGTAACTCTTCGTAGATGTTTTTTTGGTAGACGTGATAATTGAATATTTTAATTTTTTCGTTGTCTTTTCGCCCGTGTGCATTGATAAGGATGATGTCTGGGTCTATTGTGCTGTATATGTTAATGAGTTCTGTTTTCCTCGCCAGAGACCAGGCAAGGACGTTGTGTTGAATTATCTTTAACGATTTGTTTTGTATAGTTGTGGATCCCGAGAACTTGGTGCAGGGTGTTTGCTGGCTCGTGTATCTCCTGGCGAGTGTCTATTCCTTTCTTCCTTTAATCCCGTTCTGATTTTCTTAAACTTAGTTATGTCATCTCTTTCAATTTTGTTATATTTGGTGTTTATTAGTCCTGCATTTATCAACGTGTCTATGTAGGATTCTTCTACCCTGACATCTTCGTAGGTGAATTTGACTGTGCCTTCCTTGATTTCCTGCAGAAGTCTATCATTTGATATTGTAGGTGGTGTGTTAACTGAGTAGAAACGGATACCGATCTCGTCTCCTAGGTCTGCTGCCTGCACATTGGTTGGTGAAGATGGGGGGGGCACGATGACCAGAATGGGATTCTTTTCTTGTTTTCACTTTGGTTGGGTCAGCTTTTGCAGGTTGTGGTTTCTCTGTTTGCTGAGTTGTGAATCTGATGATGATAATAATAATAATAATAATAATAATAATAATAATAATAATAATAATAATAATAATAATAATTAACGGTTTATTGAAAGAGCTTGGCAGCCAGAAGGCTGAAAATATACAGTTACATAATTGGGGAATGAGTTTCGAATTACAAATAATATACAAATAACATAATTGATATAAATAAGATATATAATAACTAGATGGGGAAAAACTCAAACTACAGGGCATTTCATCATAGTGACAGTGCAAGAAGTAGTGTTTACTGGGAGGGAATACACTGGTTTATTACAAGTTATTGATAATTTTTACAATGGTTGGGGCTGGGCTGTTCTTATAGCGATCAGTTCGTGCACGTATGGGCTGGATGCGGTTGTGGTGTCGAACAGCAATTCTCGGGCTAGGGATCTCAGGTGGTAGTAGGAGCCGGTGTCGAGGATGGTACAGAAGCTTCTTACCAAATTTGCAGATGAGGTCGTGGTGATGGTCAGTGAGAGTCAAAAGGGTCACTGTGTTGAGCGCTTCTTGATATGTGGAGTAGGAAGGGGAGAGAATAATCTTGCATGCCCTCTTTTGCACTTTTTCTAGGTGTTTACGTTGTGTGGCATTTAGGGAGGAAGACCAGGTAGGGTAGGCATAGGTGAGCTTGGGAAGTATGAATGTTGAGTAAACACTGAGGAGCTTGGGTGCAGGAACTCCGAGGGACTTGAGTCGGCGGAGGATTTGACAACTTCACTGATGTGTGGGGGTGGAGGATTAAGGAATGCGACCCCCTTCCTAGGTGGACCCGCACGATCACGGTTACCCAGGAAGGCTCGGCGGAGGGATGGGTTCTGCTCCTACCCCCTTTCGTGTTGTGTTCACAAACTCCTACGGTGGAGGTGAACAGTTACAGGGGGGACCCAAGGACGAATACACGTCTAGGGTGTAGGTCCCCAGGCCAGAGCGAAAAAGAAGGAAGATCAAAGGAAAGCAGCCACTGGTGCATGTAACACCAGTGGGATCGCGGCCCAAGTCCGCTGCAGAAAGCCGTTACAGAGCTCCCAATCAGGGCCGCCTCTGATCAGGAGTCACCGCTGATCAGTGGGGAGGCACAGAAAGGGCGTTGTCTGGAACGAGCTTCCCGGGTGTATAAGTAATGGTGGTGAGGTGGTCGTTTTCGTTCGGATCGTCAACGGTTAGAGACAGGCTGGCAGGCTTTGGCAGTGAAGGGTCTGGAGAGAGGTCCGTTCATGGCAAAGGCTGGCAGGTGAATGATTCCTGGTCTCCCTGGCCAGCCACGCCCGTATTTATACAATTCAGAAACATCAGGATTTGGGATGCGCGTAGCGCGTGAGCCAATCACAGAGGAGAATGCCAGAGGTAACCGGCACTCTGATCCTAGAGTTGCTACGTGTGCGTCCGCATTGTGGAGTAGGTCTACCAGCGTCTTTGGCTGTACGCTGATTGGCTGGTAGGCGCGCGGGAGCTCAGTCGTCACTTGTAAGGGATGGGGTCCACTACAAGAGTATCCACACAGTGGTACTCGAGCAAAACATCGAACGACTGTGGAGCTCCCCAGTTAGATTAGGTTTTGTTTTTCCGATGGTTTTCGAACACTTTTTACCTTGAATTTTATAGACAATCTCTGAGATTGGAGCAGGGGGGCTTATCTCAGAAACAATTGATTTGCGTCAGAAATTACATAAAAAACATCGGAAAAAGATAATTTCACCTTCAATTTCGTATAGTGGAAACAAGTGAAATTTTACATAAAGATTTTTATGTTAGGAAATGTTAGGTAAGGTTTTCAAAGATTTATATTTTTTTTTTTTTTTTTACCCCCCATCTTCCTTATGCTTAAAGGTTAAAAGCCCTGCCCACTTTGAACAGTCAATATTGTTTCTCCTTCCCTGATTTATCATTGACTCGAGTAGGTTATCAGACTGCCGGTGAGTGTTTTGTTGTCCTTTGTGGGTCACCTCCACACGCCTAGAGCAGTGATTTGCTTTCGTCACAAGAATTCCCACTATCTTGAGTACATTTCACTGATAATAAATTCACCCATTACCAGTTACAGAGCCCATAGAGCCTAAAACAGGTCTAAAGTTTGTAAACGTGTTATGTTCAACCATTGCCCATTAGGATATGTGTGTAAGCTAGGTCACTGAATTATTTATTTCACAGAAGAGACAGATTCAAAACTCAAATTGAACTTTAGAACCCAGAATGAATGTGAAGGTTGGGAGTGTTACCAACTTGGCCAAAGAAATTTCATTATTTTTTACTGAGAAATAGTAGCCTTATCTAATCTAATTTGGTATTGTAATAAAAAAATTAACCAGATAGCACTCTCAGTTACGTGTAAAGTTTTAAATGGCATTCCCATAACTACACACTGGAGGAACATTACCAAATAAACAAATATATTTCAAGAGAGCATTCAATCTTTATGGAATGAGACGATATGAGGAGAAATTTTGTCATTAAGCACAGTAGTCTCTGCTTGTGAGGCAACCAGGTATGCCGTCTCAGTCAGTCAGCATCCATTACAACATGAGTACAGGTCAGTGGTCAGTATGCACCATGAGTACAGGTCAGTGGTCAGCATACCATGAGTACAAGTGAGAGTCATTGTAGGGGGATGTTTATGTGTGTGTGGGGGTAGATGTTTAGGTGTGTGTGGGGGGTGGTTTCTGTATATATGTGGTGGCTTTTGTTCTGTATACAGTATAGTGGGGGTTCTGTATGTATGTGGGGGTTAGTTTCTGTATGTATGTGTGGGGGAATATTTTTGTATGTGTGGAGGGTGTTTCTGTATGAGTGGGGAGGAGGTGTTTCTGTATGTGTGGGGATGTTTCTGTGTGTGTGTGGGGGAATGTTTCTGCATGTGTGTTTGTGGGGGTATTTCTGTGTGTATATGTGTGGGGGTGTTTCTGAATGTGTTTTTTGGGGGTTTCTATGTGTGTGTGCCTGTGGGGGTGTTTCTATATGTTTATTTTTGGGGTGTTGAACTGTGCATATCATGGTCATCCTTAACCCTTAGGCCCTGGGTGACGTTCCAGAACGCATACCTATTCCCACCACTGTTTAAATGCCCAGTGTGGGTTATCAGGTTCCAGTGTGACTATTTGCCTGTCACACCACAGGGTCGGCCACAGGGAAGCTTCCTGAATATAATTACCTACTTTTGTTTGTTTCATTTTCATTTTTTGTCTATTTTTTCATGTTGTATCAAATTAGTGTAGCTGTATTGTAGTGTAGTATTACTGGAAAACAATGCTATGATTATGTTATAAATGTAGTTATTTGTGGAATATTATTTTATGCATTACTTGCTCTACCAAACACAAAGCCAGCCAGGCAGACTGGCGACCGACTGGTGAGTGTTGCCAAGCACCTTTTATGAAAAGTAATGCAAATAAAATATTCTAAATGAATTAATTATAGCAAATAGGTATTAAGATCAGTAAATATATACATTATTGGCCACCTCAGACACAAAGGTGAGCTAAAAATAGCTGCTAAGTGCAGAGGAACCATGAGGGTCAGCTGTCAAACCAACAGTTTCCTTATCTCCCCCATCAGATACCTGAGGTTTAATTAGTTCATTTGGAGAAGGTCGTGTACTGGTGTGAAGTGTAAGGAACCCAATAGTAGTTATTTTGATGAAGGTCAATTATTTTTTGTATTGTAACTGAATGCACTATTTTTTTATTAGGAAATAAATTAGTTAAGTCATAATTGATGTTTCACCCTTACTCCCACCTTTGGTTTCATGACTGCAAACATACACCCATGCCTGACTTGCTCTGTCAGCTACCTAACAAGCTACATACTGTCCAGGGGGTCTGGTGGCAGCAACTTTAAAATTAAGAGCAGAGTTAAATTATCCCCTTACAATTAGTGACCCCAGAATGGGCAGTTATAGTGTTTCTATATGTGTGTTGAATTGAATTGAAACAGTTTATTTAGCCAAAAAAACACAGATACAGAGTGGATAATAATAACAATATTAACATGGCTGAGCCAGTTGAGAACCTGAGCTCTCTTTTAGGCACCTGATATATACTACAGTATAGTCTCGACTTACGCGGTCAATTGAACCCGTGGAGGTCCGCGTAAACCGAGAAATGACTAACGAAATAACAGAACATATGGGATTAATTGAAATAGAGACTGGGCCGACCCCCAAACTACACTTTTTCCGACACAATACGTACGTTGTAGTAAAAATAACATCTTAATTTTATGATGGTATGCACACACAATTAATATTTAAGAGAAATATCAATAATATTAGGTTTTTTAACACTTACATTAGTAGAAAAGATGGCTGGGCACACGGGGATGGGGGGTTGGTTCCGCGGCAAAGGGCAGATTATTGGTCCTCACCTGTATCACTTGTATCACCTGTATCACTATCCACCACAGAGGCTTGCAGGGCCTCTTTGTCAAACCCCTCAAAGTCCATATCCTCACTATCACTGACTTGGGCCGGCTGTGGTGGGTGGCGTGTGAAGAACTCGGTAATGTTTTGTTAACTGGGCGACCTTGTGCGCACCCTGCCCGCTCCGCTTCCCGCGTAAATGATGGAAAATACCGCGTAAATAAAAAATGTCGGTCTGGCAAGGTGCCGCGTAAATGACCAAACGCGTAAACGAAATCTGCGTAAATCGAGACTATACTGTACTGTATACTGTACATTTATCTCAAGGAAGTATTATGTAACATTTTGTATCAAATGGAATAGTACAATAGCATGGTGGTAATAAGAACATTTCATAATGTTACCACAGTTATCACTTCAATATTTATTAATTTTATTTATATTTATTAATTTTTTTTAGTTTATTTTTTGTATTTATTTATATACTGTATACATAAATTACAGTGGAATTGAAAAACATAAGCAGTACAACCTGGGTCTGAACTTATAAATCAATGCTATTTACTTAACATATTCATCTTTGATTTTGTTTTTTTTTGGGGGGGGGGGAGGAGAGAATAGTAAATCAGCTGATGATGTCTTGTATACCAACAGAGGAGTACCAGGTGGCAGTAGTAGGGGGCGGGGTGATTGGAACCTGTGCCGCCTACAGTCTGGTGAAGGCTGGCAAGAAGACTGTTCTCCTCGACCAGGTGAGATAATTGCTGTGTGTGATCTTCAGTTGCATAAAAAAGTGACAGGTATTGCAATGAATGAATTTCAGTGACATTAAAAGTTTGTTTACATATGCATATTCCAGCTTACATGTAAGAGTTATGTAAATGAACTCGTTTAAAAGTACAATGGAGTCATGTAAATACTGTGAATTTTTATTTTTATTTATACAGTATTTAAATGCCTCAGTTTCAGGTACATAAAGTCCTTTACTTTGATAAATAACTTGGCTTTAGCACTTTTACTTACTTTTACTTTTATCCTCTTCACTACTGATCGGCTGCATGGTTCATATGTAGCCGTCTCCTTGTATTCCTGGAGGCACTGGGTTTGGTCTTCAACGAAATGGTTTGTTTCATATTCATTAAAATCAGTTTTTGTTATGTATGACCCAAGCCACATCACATACCTGCCAACAATGATTTGATTATTGTCACTTGTCATGACTCATACAGCTCTGCATTATGATCCCATTCTCATTGCCGACGTTCTGATAGAGAAGCAGGTACCCGGATGACTTATACGTCCATGGTGTGGGTTTTCTTGTTTATTGCACGCAGAGTTAACCGCCAAAAGCAGTGTCCAAAAAGTATAAGCACAGACACAAACTTGTTTACTCGTAGTGTACAAGTGTCCAACAAAATAGAATCACGGGAAGGCATTTAACATATACTGTACTCGTAAAGTGAATAGGTTCCATCATAACATCCAATCCTACAGCTAATAGAAAACGTTCCTCTTTAATGGCAAACTAAAGATTCTCGATCATCTTGGCAAAGTGTGTTATTTGAATATACTACAGTTTTGTATGGAAATGTATCAATTTAGATGATAAACAGCCCAATTTCAGTTCACAAAATTTTCCATTTATGGAACTGCATTAATTTCAGTGTACATGTAAATAACTAATTTTCAGATGCATTGGAACCACACATACACATACAAAGTACCGGTATTAGTAACAATAAAATTCACTGTATGGAATGACACTCTACCAGTGCATGTAAATGACTTATTATCAGTGCGTGTAAACGATTCATTATCAGTTTTTTATCAATGATTCACAATCAGTGTACATGTATATAAATGACTCAGAAACCGAGTCATTTATATATACACTCATTATCAGTGGCTGTAAATGACACACAATCAGTGTATGTTAATTGACTAATTATCAGTACAGTGGGGTATGCTATAACGAACGGATCCTACTACGAATATTCCTATAACGAACGGTTTTACCTATAAAATTGAGAATGCTATAACGAACGCAACTCCTACAACGAACGCGGATGAATACGGGACTATTTCGCCTGGCGCATGAATATTGTTGTACCGCGACCCACAACAAGAGCGTCAGGTGCCATCTTTGTCTCATTGTGTAGCCAGTGCACCACTGTTAGTGTTGAAATTTCGTCTTTTGATGTGGAAATTCGCATTATTTGTATAACTATTTTGTTATACAAGTATACAATTGTAACAATAAGTTGTCCAAAGCGAGTGAGAAAGCTAATAACCCTTGAAACTAAGAAAGAAATTATAAAGAAACGTGAGAATGGAAGAAGCATTGCGAAACTTAGTGATGAACATGGGATGGCTAAATCGACTATATGTACGATTTTGAAGAATAAAGAGGAGTTAAAAACTGTGCAAGTGGCTAAGGGAATCTTTAGACTGAGCAAAGCAAGGTGTAATGTGATTGAAGAGATGGAAAATTTACTCTTAGTGTGGATAAAGGAGAAAGAAATGGCAGGTGGTAACATTAGTGAAGCTATAATTTGTGAGAAGGCTAAACAATTGTTTGAGGACCTTAAAGCCAAGACTCCCAGTGGAAGTGATAGTGATGTGCCAATGTTTAGGGGTACCTGCATGCTGAATAACACTAAGGTAAGATAAAGTACCGTATTTTTTACATTTTCCACAGAATTTTTTCAGCGTTAAGTGGTTGTATTTGGGGGTCCGGAACGGATTAATCCTATAACAAACGAATGCTATAACGAACGAGGTTCTGGAACCAATTACGTTCGTTATAGCATATCCCACTGTATATGTAAATGACTCGTTATAATTATTATAATAATAATAATAATAATTACATTACAGTTTACAGTGCCACACATTACAGTTCACAGTGCCACACTTTACAGTTCACAGTGCCACACTTTACAGTTCACAGTGCCACACTTTACAGTTCACAGTGCCACACTTTACAGTTCACAGTGCCACATGCCCACGGGAGCAGTGGAGGTATGACCAGGATCACCAGGACGGCCAACAGTGGTCCCCCACAACTCACCCCTATCATGGATGATGCCTTTAAACAATGGCTTAAGATATCTGACATTGTTAACCAGGAACTTATCAGGTGAGCATAAGCTATCTCTGGTGCACTCAGTGGAGCATAAGATATCTCTGGTGCACTCACTGGAGCATAAGCTATCTCTGGTGCACTCACTGGAGCATAAGCTATCTCTGGTGCACTCACTGGAGCATAAGATATCTCTGGTGCTCACTGAAGCATAAGCTATCTCAGGTGCACTCACTGAAGCATAAGATATCGCTGGTGTACTCAGTGGGGATTATGATCTCGGGTGATATCACCCAGGCTTTAGATTTATAATTATACTCTACAGTAATTCCTGTAATATGCACAAAACCACATTAGGAAACATCTTGCTCAAGGGACAAATTGCATAATATATTAATATAATATTTAGGTAATAAAAATGAGTGATGCCATAAGATTTTTGACAATGAAAGAAATATCCAGTTGCTGAATGCCATTGCAGTTAGAAGTTGAACTGTTTGGGATCACCCACATGCCTGTTTCCTTGTCACCGAAGTACAGTATGTGATGTATAATATCAGTACAGTACAAACGTTTTCAGTGACAGTATTACCAGAATTCTGCAACAATATACGTATAATTATTAAGCACTAATGGACAGTAGAGCATTGTAAGAGTTCTACAGAGCTGTGCAAGTCATGCAAAATACCCACACCCACCTAACTTAATCTAATCCAACCTTATTTCAACTAATCTAGCCCTACATTCCTACAGCTTCGCCCCAATGCTGGTGGTGAGTCACGAACTGGAAGACATAAAGAATATGGCCATTTCAGTTGAGAGGACAGGCCACACCCCAAACTGGCTCACACCTGAAGAAACAAATGCCAAATACATGTAAGATTGATGGGGAAGATTTACATTGAGAGGATAGCATTTAATCCTCACACATCATAAAAGAAATTTTCTTCTATTTATCATATGCTATATAACTAACAATGGGTCAGGCGACTCTTATACTGCACTGACAAGAATACGTTTTAGCCAAAGGGATGTCGGAGACCTTCCACTTGTATCTTTGGGCATTGCATTACTGTACAATAACTTCAGAAATTCAGTAGCTAAGAGTAGAAAGCTAGATACAGTATAAGATGTTTCTCAGTTAACCTACAAGCTGTGAACCTGTGATTTTTTTTTGTAGCTTAGGACTTATACAATAGATGCTATACTGTACCTTGATTTTTTGGATTTATTTATTTATTTTATTTTTCTTTAATTTCTGAATACAGAATCACATAATTTTAGAACAAATGCTACCTTCAGAGTATTTCTCAAATGGTATAAATTTTGTTTTATTTACATTATTTAATTTTGTTTCTTTAGGGGTGGAGGGGGGTAGTGGCCCTGTAGCCAGCAGCACATTAAGAAATACAGTATAGTTGTATAATGTTAATATTTATCATCTGCCTTAATGGGGGTAGGTTTGGTTGTACAAGTACTGGGTTTGCTTTTGTGAGATTAGAACAGTAAAAGGTTAACAAAGATTTTATTACATACTTAGTTCACTTAGACCTTCACACTCCTCACTGTGTTGCTAGGTGTGTGACTGCTGCCTTTTATTATAAACCTTATACTATAATAATTCAGGATTTTTAATAGTAAGTTTTAACTTGGCAGGACTCGCTTCCCGAAGGATTCGGTGATGTTTGAGGACACCACAGCTGGGGTGATGAGGGCCGATATGTGTCTTTCAGCTGTCAGGGTGAGTCTCCCATCTTTAATGAAAGAGAAAGTGGGATCCATAGGCCTGATGGCCTGTGTGGAGCAATGTGGAAAGAATTCACTGTACAGTAAGCCTCCAATATACAAGGAGGCAGTGTGACCAGTATAATGTATTGCCTTCAACTGCCTTCACTTTCTAGCTGTAACGGTAGGTATCCATTCACAGATGGGTTGACTGGAGGTGCCATAGGCACAAACCAGAGACCTTTTGGGCAGTCAGTGAGCTTATTAGCCACTACACTCCTAGTGTCCTTTAATAACAAATGGTGTAGAGTTGCAAACTAATTAAGACTGTATTTTGGCAGGAACTGTACAGGAGTGCTGGAGGAACACTGCTTGAGTCATGGCCGGTGAAGGAAGTGGAGACTGGCCACCCCTTGATCACTCTCAGGGGGCCCCAGGGAGTCATCCGTGCTAAGGGCCTTATCTTGTGCCCTGGACCTTGGGCTTCCAATCTCCTCATGCCCCTTGGGGTCAACCTTCCACTCAGGTACTGGTATTTTGATAACATCTTTGACTTCTTGCTAAGGTGAGCTTGCATGAAGTCAACCTCAACTGACATGGGATCAACTTCCATACAGATAAACTGACTCTTAATGTATAATGTTTCCCTTCGAACATATGAATCAACAACATTGAGAATATTAATGAAACTGATGACATAATCCGAAAAATTATCAAGTTTTCTTTGAAGTTTGTGATGGATTTTTCAAAAAACATCTGGAGCTAAATGCTGTTTCTATTTCAACAGTAATAAAGTGTTTGCATGGGATGTAGTTTGGGGGTATATGGTGTTATTTGTACGTCTCATTTTATGGATGAGCCAGGGAGTAGGTGGCTGGAGTATATTTGGCTGTCAGTCCAACTGTTATGTTTTAAAAGACTTAACAGAAAGGTTTACAATCTAGCTTTATGCAAGAGCTTTTATCCTTCACACTATGTACAGCAAAGATATTGGAAGTATAATGTATTGTCTAATGGTAGACTCTGCTGCCATATGGCATCATGAAAATTGTGACCAAGTCCCAGGTTGCTAATCTGACTTTCTGCCTCATTTACACACAATGGCAGGGTTTCAATTATTTTTCTTACTATTGACAACACGACATACATACAGTATATCGTTTCTCACTTTTGATCTTGTTTTCATTTTTGTATTTCTTTATGGTTCTTTATTATTATTATTATTATTATTGTTATTATTGTTATTATTATTGTTATTATTATTACTACTATATTTTCACCCCCCAGGCTCCGATGTGGGTCAGTGATCTGTGCCCGCGTGGGCTAATCCCCGTAAAAAAAATAAATAAAAAAAATCTTCACCACTTGTACAATGGTCCTCAACATGACCCAAAGTTAGTTCAGATTTTTCCACATCTGGGTGCCTTGAAGCCAGTTTCCTGAACTTCTCCCAGTGGTAAATAACATCTTTTAACTCTGAAGTTGACATATGGTCATCACTTTCCTTTTCCTCCTCACCATTGTCAGCCTCTAACATCTCATCCAGTTGCTTCAAGTCTTCAGGAGTAAGTTCCTCCTCATGAGACATCATAAGCTCTTCGACATCATCCTCCTCCACTTCAAGGCCCAATGACTGACCAATGGACACAATCTCCTGGTCCAACTCTGTTTCTTCCTCAAATCCCTCAAAATCATGGACTACTGATGGCCACAGTGCTTTCCATGAAGAATTGAGGGATCTAGTGGAGACTTCTTGCCATGATGACAATCAATTTTACAGCCTCCAGGATGTTGAATTGTGTCTTCCAGAACTGTGCCAGTGTTAGTTCAGGATCAGTGGAAGTTGCCTGATGACACCTCCTAAACATTTTCTTCATGTACAATTTCTTGAAGTTGCTGATCACATTCTGGTCTATTGGCTGTATGATTGATGTAGTGTTGGGAGGCAAAAACAACACTTTCACAAAGTCAAATTGACACTCCAAAGTTCTGGCAAGTTCAGGGTCATGCCCAGGGGCATTATCCATGAGGAGAAGAGCCTTTAAAGGGAGTTAATTGGTGGTTAGGTAGCTCTTTACAGAAGGGTAAAACACCTCAACAGCCCATTCATTAAAGAGCTGTCTTGTCACCCATGCCCTACAGTTGAACTTCCAAAAAACTCCAAGCTTTCCTCTTACCACTTTTTGTTGTTTGAACACCCTGGGGTTCTCAGAGTGGTAAACAAGCATAGGCTTCAGTCGGAAATCCCCTGAAGCATTGGCACCAAGCAATAGAGTGAGATGGTCTTTCATGGGTTTATGCCCAGGTAAAGAGGCTTCATCTTTGGTGATGAATGTTCTTTTGGGCATCTTTTTCCAAAACAGCCCAGTTTTGTCCATATTGAACACTTGCTGTGGAAGATAATTTTCTTCTTCCACCAGCTCTTTAAACTCCACTAAAAACTTTGCTGCCCCCTTCCTTATCAGCACTAGCAGCCTAACCATGCCTAATAACACTGAAAATGTCACTTCTTTTCTTAAATTTTTCGAACCAGCCTTTGCTGGCCCTAAAATTTTCAAATTCTGTGCCTGAAGAACCAGGTTGATCTGTCTTTAAATGTTCGTATATCTCCCTGGCTCTTTCACAAATAAATTCAGTAGAAACTGAATCACCTTTCATCTGTTTTTCCCTAATCCAGATGAGAAGTAACCTCTCAGTTTCTGCAATTAGGGATCTACAGTACTTTTAAACACTGGTAGATTTGTCTCTCACTTTTACTTCTTTAAATTTTTCTTTCTGTGCAAGAATTGTCGACACAGTTGATGTCGACATGCCATATTCTTTGCATAGCGCATTTGTTCTAATGCCTTCTTCATGTTTTTTTTTTTATAATTTCCTGCTTAGTTTGGATTGAAATCGCTTTTCTTGATCTCTTAGGCTCCATGCTGGATTCAAACAATCTCAACACGTGATATTTTAAGTTTAAACTTGCTGTAAATAAAGAATATTTTCTTTAAAATAACACTGCACTGTGCTATATATTGTCAATATGTAAAATAAATTTCAAAATGACCACTAATTTGCTTGGAAACACAGAAAAAAGCGTTAAGTTGAAGTCTCAAACAAGATGTTGCCTCCACTGAAAAGACAGAGACTAATGCTTGTTTGGTGTGTTGACAGGCTGGATGGCGTGCATAAAACTAGTTTCCTTACCTTCAATTATGTTCAATAATTGTTAAAATTACTAAAAAACTTAATATTAAACTTTTAAAATTATTGAATAGTATAAACTTCTTTATGTTTACTAAAAATAGTAAGGAATTTAAGCCCTAGAACCGATTACTGTATTGACCGACTAATACTACAGCTGGTTGACCGCCAAGTGCAAGCGAAAACATATTCAGGTCGGCTCGTAAGAAACTCGTTAATCGAGGGATTGCTCGTTAACCAAAGTTAAGAATCTTATGGAAGGTAACTCGTTTATCAAAATCTCGTTAACCGAGACACTCGTTAACCGAGGGATCACTGTATAATTAACATTGCTGGAATTCTTATAAGATGGTGATTAATTTGAATATAAACATGCTATAGTTTGCACTAGACAAAAACTTTAGGAATCATTTAGTACATTATTTTGAGTGCATGTACAATGTTGCCCTGAGGACAGTGTAGCGTGCCCAGAGAAACATTAGGCACAAAATTTTAAATATGATGTGCCAGATTGACTCGCACAAAATAGGAAAGATTCACTTTAAATTAAAACATTGTCCTTAATTGTGGGTGTTGCTTTAAATCAATAATTTTAAATTTAATCGCTTTAATTCGACGTTCTACTGTATTTTGCAATTTGTCTCAGCCCTGAAAAAAATCTGTAAGGGGGAACCTTACATGTTTTTTCACCCAAATATTATTTTCTCTCAGACTTGAAATTTGGTGGAAGTAATTTCAGTAATTAAGTACATCCAGAAAAACGTAAAAACACCAACCAATCTCCTCGGAAACCAATAGTTGGCGAGTACAGAAATAAGCATTGAGAAAAAGTCATTAAAATCTTTCAAGCATCACTACGACCACTAATTATTCTACAATCGAACTGTCGATAATATATTTGGAATCGGCATGCTCAGGAGTACCTATACTGAGATTTTGAACAAAATTGCACTTTTTGCAATTTATCTCAGCCCTGAAAAAATTCTGTAAAGGGGGACCCTTAAGGTGTTTTTTCACCCAAATATGATTTTCTCACAGACTTGAAATTTGGTGGAAGTAATTTCAGTAAAAACACCAACCAATCACCTTGGAAACCAATAGTTGGCGAGTACAGTAATTAGAAATGAGAAAAATTTCATTAAAATATTCCAAGCATCACTACGACCACTAATTACTCCGTAATCAAACTGTTGATAATATATTTGGAATCAGCATGCTCAGGAGTACCTATAATACTGTACTAAAATTTTTAACAAAATCGCATATTTTGCGATTTGTCTCGGCCCTGAAAAAATCTGGGGGTCCTTACGCGTTTTTTGACCCAAATATGACCTTCTCAGACTTGAAATTTGGTGGGATTAATTTCAGGACAGTGTAGGCAAAACCCTTAAATAGGATTTTTGGTCCCACACAGCCTCAAATCCACACCCTTCCTAAATACTCTATCTATTTCACCATCTTGCACACAGGCCCACTCAGTTTCACCCTTAGAAACAAATTTAAGAAGCTTCTCAATGAATTCTATCCACAAATTTCTCTTACACTTAGACTAGTCTTCAAACCCCAGGGTTAAATTAAAAAATTCTTTAAAATTAAAGACACCATACCCACACACTTGCAAACTTCAGTTGTTTATCAGTTTACTTGTGCTAGCTGTAGGGCAGCATAAATAGGTAAAACAAAAAGACACTTGATAGCTCAACTTTCTAAGACATGAATAAACCCATTTAAACTTCTCATGAACATTCAAATTTACTAAAAAATATTACCATACAGTATTAGGAAAAAAATTCTAACTCATAGCAATACATTTTAATTCTGTATTTGAGTAGCAAGGAATATTAAGATAAATTTAAAAATATATATAAACATGTTCCACTTTATTATGTTCTCTTCCCTAGTACAATGAGGACAAAATCTTTCTACTGGAAGATAAAAGATGAATTTCCTCATTCTGCCTTCGTTGGGTGGGGAGCCAAGCATGTGGATTACTACGCCATGACAGCCCTCGGTCGACCTGGCCATGTCAAGGTTCATATTCATTATTCATATGGTTACTGTATATACTCGTCCATAATTCTATCTCGTGTATAGGTTGACCCTTGATTTTGTCCAAGAAATCATTAATTTATGATATGCCTTGTTTATAGGTCGACCCAAATTTTTTAGGGTAATGGAACAACAAATTAGGGTAATAAAGCACCATATTTTATGGCATATAAAACTCATTTCAGAAAACCTTCACTAAAAACACTCTACGTCCTATAAACTGAGGGTCACTGTGCCTGAAACACCAAGCGCCGAAGGCAAATTGTTTACCATTTATTATTACGACACTTTACATTGAAACGCGGGTAGTTTCAGCAAAAATATTGTATACAGTGAACCCTCACTTTACGCGGTCAATTGAACCCACGGCGGCCCACGTAAAGTGAGAAACGCGTATAGTGAACAACATAACATATGGGATTAATTGAAATAGAGACCGGGCCGACCCCCAAACTCCACTTTTTCAGACACAATACCTACGTTTTAGTAAAAATAACTTCTTAATTTTATGTATGCACACACAATTAATAATTAGGAGAAATATCAATAATATTAGGTTTTCTAACACTTACATTAGTAGAAAAGATGGCTGGGGGGTTGGTTCCGCGGCAAAGGGCAGATTATTGGCCCTCACCTGTATCACTTGTATCAATTGTATCACTATCCACCACAGAGGCTTGCAGGGCCTCTTTGTCAAACCCCTCAAAGTCCATATAAGTCCATATCCTCACTATCATTATCACTATCACTGACTTGGGCCGGCTGTGGTGGGTGGCGGGTGAAGAACTCGGTAATGTTTTGATGACTGGGCGACCTTGTGCGCACCCTGCTCGCGCCGCTCTCCGCATAAAAGGGTACACACACCGCGGAAAGTGAGCATTCCGGTTTCGGCAAGGTACCGCGTAAACGTGGAAACGCGTAAAGTGGGACCGCATAAAGCGAGGGTTAACTGTATTTCCATTTAAGTATTTATTTAAGTCAATTAGGATAGAATATTATTGTAATACAACAGTTCTTTTTAACTTAAAATCATTCGAAAAGTGATTACGGTAACATCTTTTGAACAACAAAAGAAAGCGAAAGTCGATTGTTTTCGTCATGATTTTATCCCACTTTCCACTGTAATACATACGTCATTTCAGCAAAAATATTACATTTCCGTGAATGTATTATATGAAGCACAGTATGAATAGAATATCATTGTAATATAACAGTATTTTAACCGAAAACTATTAAAAAACGAGTAACATCTTTTGAACATGGGAAAGTTAGGTAAAGTCTTTTGTTTTCGTCATGAATTTTATCCTATTTTACATTGAAATACATCACGTTTCAGCAAAATTTCTATTTATTTCCAAGAATATATTCATTCAGGCGCAGTTTAGGTAAAATATACATGTGATGTAACATTTTTTTAATTGAAAATGATTCGAAAAACACGTACCCTCTAGCCCTGTTCAAGGAGAGGACTGGGAGAAGCTGTTTGGTGCTGCAGACGATGGCAAGGAAAATGATTTGGATGGATTTTAATGAAAATATTCAGAAATATGGTATCGTAGTATTTATTCAAGCCAATTAGGATAGAATATTATTGTAATACAACAGTAGTGACGATGTGGAGGAGGCGGAGGGATAGAGTGGGGAGGAGGTGACTGGCGGGAGCAGGGACGAGTGGAGATGCCAGCCAGTACATTACGGGTGTATTAATTGTTTTTATAGCTATTTTTGCATTTTAATGTTAAATACTGTACATTACCTTTCAACAAAACTACCATTTATTTCTGAGAACATGGAAATGTAATATTTTTGCTGAAATGATGTACGTATTACAGTGGAAAGTGACGAAAACAATGACTTTCGCTTTCTTTTGTTCAAAAGATGTTACCGTAATCGCTTTTCGAATGGTTTTCAGTTGTGGGATTATAAGGCTAATGATAGGATAGAATATTATTGTAATACAGTACAAGTACAACAGTTTTTTTAACTGAAAACCATTTGAAAAGCGATTACGGTAACATCTTTTGAACAACGAAAGAAAGCGAAAGTCTTTCGTCATGATTTTATCCCACTTCCCACTATAATATGTACGTCATTCCAGCAAAAATATTACATTTCCATATTTATTTCCGAGAATATATTCATTCAGTCACAGTTAAGGTAAAATATACTTGTGATGTAATATTTTAATGAAAATCCAGTATCGTAGTTTTCTCTTGTTTCAAATTTAATTAACAAAGATTGATGTTTCAAATGTAATGAACAAAAATTTATGTCCAGTATCTATAAATTAACTTTAATAAATGAATACTTTGTTTTACATCGTCCTGTGCTACCATACCATGGATTTGGCTACTTTGGGCTCGCAAGAGATCTGCCCTGGCAACTGTACCGACACTCACAGCTGGTGGTGTGTTGGTGCATCGTTTCCATTGTTTACTGGTAGTTACTGGTAAATATTTTTCAACCTAACGAAACTATTACCCGTTTAGAGGTCGACCCCCAATTTTTGCCAAATAATTTGGTCTTAAAAACTCGAACTACACACAGGTATATACGGTAAATAAGGACATGGGGGGCCAGGGATTGGGGCAGCAATAGTACACGGATTTTTAACATTCACGGTTATCTCTGTTACCTAACCCCCGCGAATGTTAAGGGCCGACTGTATTACAATAATATTCTATCCTAATTCACTTGAATAAATACTACGATACCATATTTCTGAATATTTTCATTAAAATCCATCAAAATCATTTTCCTTGTCTTCAACACCAAACAGCTCCTCCCAGTCTTCTCCTTGAACAGGGCTAGAGGGTACGTGTTTTTCGAATCGTTTTCAGTTAAAAAAATGTTACATCACATGTATATTTTACCTAAACTGCACCTGAATGAATATATTCTCAGAAATAAATAGTAGTTTTGCTGAAACGTGATGTATTTCAATGTAAAATAGGATAAAATACATGAGGAAAACAAAAGACTTTACCTAACCTTCCGATGTTCAAGAGATGTTAATCGTTTTTAAATATTTTTCGGTTAAAATACTGTTATATTACAATGATACAGTGACCCCTCGTTTAACGAACGCCTCGGTTAACGAAATTCGGTTAACGAACTGCCTTCCATAGGGATCTTCAATTCGGTTAACGAATTTCTTACGAACTGACCTCAACATGTTTTCGCTTGCACTGACCGGGCAACCAGCTTTAGTATCAGTCCGCCAATACATTAATCGGTTCTGGGGCTTAAATTCCTTACTATTTTAGTAAATATCAAGAAGTTTATACTATTCAATAATTTTAAAAGTTTAATATTCAATTTTTTAGTCATTTTAACAATTATTGAACATAATTGACGGTAAAGTGACTAGTTTAATGCGCAGCATCCAGCCTCTTAACACAGCAAACAGGCGTTAGTCTCTCTCTGTTTTCACTGGAGGTAACATCTTGCTTGAGACTCTCTTCAACTAAACGCTTTTTTCTGTGTTTCCAAGCAAATTATTGGTCATTTTGAAATATATTTTACATATTGACAATATATAATGCAGTACAGTGTTGATTTAAAGAAAATAATCTTGAAATACACCAAGAGAACTAAAATTTTATGGGTGAAATGGTGCCATGGGGTGACTTCTCTTCCACCCCAATGCCTTCTCTTCTTCCTTCTCCTCCACCCCCATTCTAATTCCCATCATCATCATCATCATCCAGGAGCCTTCTACATACACACCTCAAAGTAAGTGAACTTTTCTACCATTTTTGTTGAATTTAGGCAATTTTCGGTGAGCTGGAACCAATTACCCAAAAACCCATTGAAACAATGGTTTCGGTTAACGAACTTTTCGGTTAACGAACGACCTTCTGGAATGGATTGAGTTCGTTAACCGAGGGGTCACTGTATTCTATTCATACTGTGCTTGATATACTACATTCACGGAAATGTAATATTTTTGCTGAAATGACGTACGTTTTACAGTGGAAAGTGGGATAAAATCGTGACGAAAACAATGACTTTCGCTTTCGTTCGTTCAAAAGATGTTACCGTAATCGCTTTTCGAACGGTTTTCAGTTAAAAAAACTGTTGCATCACAAGTGAATTAGGATAGAATATTATTGTAATACAACAGTTTTTTAACTGAAAACCGTTCGAAAAGCGATTACGGTAACATCTTTTGAACGAAAGAAAGCGAAAGACATTGCTTTCGTCACTTTCCACTGTAATACGTACGTCATTTCAGCCAAAATATTACATTCCCATATTCTCAAAAATAAATACCGTAGTAGTTTTGCTGAAACGTAATGTATTTCAATGTAAATTAGGATAAACTACATGAAAACAAAAGACTTTACCTAACCTTCCGATGTTCAAGATATGTTACTCGTTTTTGTAATAGTTTTCGGTTAAAATACTGTTATATTAGTGATATTCTATTCATACTGTGCTTGATATAATACATTCACGGAAATTTAATATTTTTGCAACTACAATGCTGATGTCAACACAAGCGTGGTTACAGCGAAACTGACTGAGTGAGGGAGAGCTATGCGTGTGTGTGGTTGCGGGCTGTGTCCCGTGTTCGGTGCCGCGCGCGAGTTGAATGGCGCGCGATTTGAATGTACTTCAATTACTTCAATGTACAGAATATTCCTCCGGCGGGGCAATCCACGTATTTGCAAATCCGTGTATGCTAAACCCGCGTATGTTAAGGGCTGACTGTACTGTACCGTAATGCACTTCATCACCCAGAGAGAGATGGAGCAGTCTACCTGCAAGTGCTGGAGAGGTAAGAGCTGTCCTAACCTTGAAATTATGGGTCTTGTACTTCAGGTGGGGTTACATGATGGGAAGTACGTACGCATAGATGGTGAGGAACCTGATCTTTCCTTACTGCGGGAGCAAGTTGTTGCCTATTTCACCAAGTACTTCCCTGTCCTAGGTGACAAACCTGTCGACGAGGAGCTGTGCTGGTACACGGTGAGTAGTACTGTTCCAAAGTTGAATATCATGGTGGGGAAGGGAATGGACAATTAAGTGAATGTGCTTTATAATGAACAACTGGTTCATCTTGGATGTGAGTAAAGTTACTATTAAAACCTTGTATAGAGAATTATGACATGTTAAGCCTAGTTTTAATTGGTTATTACTTGACTTGTTGGCTCCATTTTGTGTGTCCCTTATATGTGATTTCACTGAAACACTAGAATTTAGCTAACATGTTTTCGAAGCTCAAGTGACTTGGCGACACATTATGTTTCGACAATACTTGTAATATACAACACCATAAAAATAATTAATGTCTAATATGTAAAATATTTCAACAAAGGATGATGGAAAAAAACATGGTGCAGACATTAACTTGCTAATTTCCCCAAGTCCTTCATCCTCTATACTTTTTACTTCACATGAATGATTTTCTTTCCATTTCCTGCAACATGTTATGTTCCTCTGCTGATAATACTAATGTACAGTAGGTGACAAAAGTTCGCTTCCCGTGGTGGAACCGAGTCACGGGAATGAGTCTCCGAACTGACTTACCCTGACTGTTTCGTCTCATTTGTGGTCAATGCGGATTCATTTTGGGCGGGAGCGAACTTTTGACCCCAACTGTACACCAAAGTTTACTCTAGTGATATTATGGCCACACTCAGTCAAGTTTCCCACTTGATTGTTGAAATTCTATAACTGCAGTTAACACGGATCTTGAGTCAGTAATGTACAAATAATCTTTTTACATTCGGTGCCATCAAGAAACAAACTCAGACTCCATACAAATAATTTCCAGATGAAACATTTGTACAGCAATAACTCCATTATACCAGTCACCAGTGACAATATCCACATCTTTATTGTTGCAAAAAGATACATCCTATAAACTATTTACTTTTTTGGGGGGGGGTCTTGTTCTTTTTTAACCTTTAAAAACTCAGTAACACCTGTGCTGTACTATATTTCCTTAGATTTGAGAAACATTTTTATCTAGGTGATAAATTATATTTAAAAGCATGACTTAGCCTCAAAGGCGTTTCTATGGTGCCTCCCTGGTCATCCATTGTTGTTTCCCTGAATTATTGTAATATCTTTTTCCCTTATATTTCTTGAACATTTATTGATATCACTACAGCATGTGCTTTCTTGAACATTTCCTCATCATCTTTTCTGTTTTCATATGAAAGGTGGATCACAGTCTGTTACTCTATTCCTTTTTATATCTCATGCTTTGTAGTGCCAATATTGTTTCAGTTGTAAGCCATAACTCTGGTGCAACACTCCCATACAAAAGTTGATTTTCTTCACCAGCATTTAGTCAGATTCAAAACGGTAGACATTGGACGAGGAGTATTAACCATTATCTGGGCAGTTGCAATTAAGTCTTTACAAGACCTTTAGCCTTTCAGGTAAATATTGAATACTGTCAAGTCCACTCACTCATTTGAGGCTGACAGTACAGGGGGGAGTCAGTAGGTCCAGAAGACTTAAATGATCAATACATTATCGAAGCATATCCCAAGATTTAATGCACCCCTTAGGGAGACACTTCATTAACAAGAGGCACCTGGTTGCAGGCTCCTACACACTAAGGTATTCAACAATCAATCATCCATTCTTTTCAGACCAAGAAGTATTAGCTGAAGCATATAAAGTTATTTAAACTGTATGGATATGTAACCACAATTTATGTACTGTACTGTATATACTGTATACAGTATTGCAAATATTGCAATTGTTTTAGTTTTCTGAAGATTTTTCTTGTTCTTACAGATAACACCTGATGAAGAGTTTATCTTAGATTGTCATCCACAACACAACAACATTGTTTATGCTGTTGGCTTCTCAGGTACAGTTATGTGTTTGTCTGACAAGTAGTACTCCTCTTTCTTTAACAAAAGGAAAAAAAATGAATGTACAGTATGTGTGTGTGTGTGTGCACGCGCCGAATAGGATATTCTCGGCATTGTCATAACAAAAACCTGCAGAGAGACGCTCAGCTAGATCGAAAGAATACACCAGAACTGGTTTGATGAAAATGACCCGGCAATCAATGTACTCGCCGATGATAAATATGCTACTTTAACTGACTGGCAGAATAACCCTCAACCTCAGACCAAAGCTTATACCATCCGCACGAAGTAAGCGGCAGCCCATGCGAACTTCGCAATCTAAAGAACAACTGGTTTAAAAATAAAGCATGTGAAACACAAAAATTTGCAGATCAGCACAAGATACACAAATTTTTAAATTCCACTAAAACATTTTATGAGCCAATCACGCTGGCAGCCCTCCACTCATCCAACGGTAACTCCCTAATTAAAGACGATGAAGGCAACTTCCAGTGCTGGAAAGAGCACTACCATTCACTGCTCAACCGAAACACTGATGTGGATGTCCTGACTACCCAGCAGATCCCTCAGCATCCAGAGCTGACCCACCTCAGCTATCCTCCATAACTAGATGAGGTAGCTACTGCCATCAAACAGATGAAAAATAACACAGCCTCAGGGCCTGATGGAATCCCAGTCTAGGTGTATAAAGCAGGAGTACCTCTGCTTACCAGCCGTCTCCACTCTCTCCTAGAGAATATATGGGAAAAAGAGGGAATCCCCCAAGCTCTTAAAGATGCCTCCATTGTCAATATTTATAAGAACAAGGGAGACCGGTCAGACTGACAACTACTGAGGGATCTCGCTGCTGTCCATAGCTGGCAAGATTATCGCCCGAGTCCTCCTAAACAGACTTCTTCCTGAGGCGGAAAACTTGCTCCCAGAATCTCAATGTGGATTTAAACCTTCACGTGGCACCACTGACATGATCTTTGCTGCCCCCCAGATACAGAAAAAGTCAGAGAACAGAGTCGTGACCTGTACACACAGTAAAAAAAAGTACAGCACGGATTATGTGCAAAACAATATGACACCCCGGATGAGGAATAGTGGAATACAGTCAGTCCTTGACTTAAGACGGGGTTAAGGACCGACGACCAGGTCATAAGTCGAAAATGCGAAAATAATACATAGAAAATCTAAAATGGGTGTCTCTTTTTCTTCTCAGTACCACGAGAACTCTCACTTTTACGCTTGCAAGCCATTTTAAAAGGAATTAAACACAAAAATTTTGTCAGTACACAGCGAGATCACTAACGTCAGGACTCGAAAATACGTAATTTGAAAAATATTTTATACGACTGCGGCGGTCTCATGTACGGGTGGTCCTAAGTCGAGGAGTACCTGTATGAGTGTTGGTCCTGCTTTCCTTGCCTGAGGGTGTCCTCACATATCTGTTACCCTACCATAGGTAGGTAGAAACCTTTGCCATACAAGGCACGCATACCAACCATACCAAACTAAATGTGTTCACAATTGGTAAGCAGACCTGTTATTATCTAAAATGTTAAATATATGGATTATCAAAATGCAAATCATTTCAAGGCATTATAACTTCAGGGAGGATGTTAGAAAATTTTTAGTATTTATTATAAAAGGTTGATATAAATATAAGTTTATATACGCGCAGTCCGGGGGGGGGTTAAAATGCTCAGGGGAACCAATCAGCTATTTGTAGTTATAGACGAGGGGTGGGGCTTAAGAACCAGCTTAGCATAGAAATACTATACAGTAGTTTGTTAAATCAAGAAAATACTGTACAGTCCATACTTCACTTTAACAACTACAGTAATTGGTACTATGAAAACGGTTGTTAAAGTGAAAATCGTTAATGTGGTGAGTATAATTTATATGCTATATGGGTCAATTGATACCAGCCCTTAGACACTTTCACCCCGATAAACCCCACAAAAAATTATGACCATTTATTCACACACATTAATAACTAACATTTAAGACACTCATTGAGCTGCTTAATGAGACTGTTTGCTGTCATCCGAGGCAGGGGAGTGGTGTTAGTGCCCCCCTGCCCTTGCCCCCGCACTCTCACACTGGGTTGCTTCCCCAGCACCACCACAAACTGATCGGTCAGTTTCATAGCCAGTGAAGTCGAGTGGTAAATCATCTAACATTACACACAGGTAAATCTTGAACATTATCATCAACAATGCCGTCACAGATAAGTGAGTAGGTTACACCACACCACCTGTTCACATGCCCAGAATGACTATCAACTTGCGCTACTAATCGTTATTGTGTTGAAATGTATCGTTAATGTTTTGAGGAGTTGCATTTCATTAGTCATTATTGTGATAAATCGTTAATGTGAAACTCATTAAAGTGAATATGTACTGTAGTTGAATCTACCCTTTGCCCAGATACCAGATAACTATGACGCTATCGTAATTTGCTATCCCGAGTGAAAAGGGTAATTTCCCCCCAAAGATTACCGAGCCTTACCTTTTCAGTTGTAATCTTCATAATTGTGATTTTGTTGAAAATCATATGTTGTTTAAGGATCTGTTGTTTATAATTTGATATTTGGATAAATGCACTACTTGTCTTAATAACTCTTAGAAAGTTTCTGTTAGTTTTGCAGTGGTAATTGCACACAGTTATGATATCTGATGTCACTCACTTGTGTTATTTTGGGTGTACCATAGTAGTATAACACATTAATCTTTAATTCTGAGAGAAAAGGGTTTTTCCGCACAAAGATTACCGTTTCAGCCTTAATCTTGAAAATAGACATTTTGTTCAAAATCTCAATACCTATAAGTACTCCTGAACATGCTTAATAGTGTCCTGAGGCTAAAATTTTGATATTTGGGTAATTATGTGGCCTAATGAGTCTTAGTATTGAAAAAAATTTAAGTAATCTATTTATAGACCACCTAATATGATATATTGATGGCATTCTTTGGTGTTCCCAAAAGATTTCCTGTTACTAAAGGACAACTGTTTACACCTGGAATTAGCCAAATTAAATATTAAAAGTGGCAGGGGAAAATGGGTGTGATTAGGATAGCAAGGTTAGTTTCTTTATAGGGGTTAAAATATCAACTCCAACAGACAGCATGAATCACAAGAAGGTACCTGGCTATGGGCTCAGCAAAAAAGGCATTCAAGGATCAATCTTCTATCTTATTTGGTGATCTTTTGTTCTGATGACATTTGTCTTCTCAGGCACAGGATTCAAGTTGGCCCCGACAATCGGCAACATCCTGGCAGCCAAGGTACTGGGGCAACACCATGGCTTTGATTTGTCTCCCTTCACCTCAGACAGGTTCACTATGTAAATCAAAAGACAGTTTTCCTCAGAATAAATACTAAAATGCATATGTCAACTTTCAGGAATACTTGTATAGGGTGAATATTTGTGTGTAGAATTTTAACCCCTTAAGGAATACTGGTATGTAGAACCACCATTCTTTTTATGAATTCCTATGTACAGGGTTTCATTCCCACCCTCCATCAGAAATATTTATTTTGATGTATGAGTTCATATACTGTATACAGTACCCCATAATGGCTGCACAGTCTCAGATGCTTCAACTGCAATAAAAATCCTGTACATTATGTGCAATGAAATAAAAAAAAAAAAAAAGTAAAGAACTACAGAGAGTATTTCAGAATCCTGAATTGCCCAACTCTTCAGAGCTAATCAGTAAGTTTCTGAATTCTTACAAGCATTACTATCTATTAATGTTATATCTGACACATTTTCTTATTATTTTTATTAGGAAACATCCCTTATCCTTTGAAAGAAACTTGAATTTATGTGGACAACGCCTACAGCCATCACCATCTGTTCTCAGTCTCATTAGCATGTACCGCCATCTATCGGCGTGCAACGAAGATTAGTATTCAGTTGCCATTTCGTATTTTTGCAGTACTTATCTTAGTATGGACATCTTTGTACAATGAGTAACGATCATTACAACACTTTGGTAATAACATATCAACAAGGACAGTGCTATCATGCCGTAAGTCTTTATGAAGGAGCAATATTTTGTTTTACAAATACAGTACTGTACAATACTCTGAAGATCATAAACTTTATAAAAGTAATCTTATTATTCACTACTTTACACTAAATGTAAATTGATAAAAAAAAAGACCAAAAATCATTTACCTCCCTAAGTTGAAAAGAAAGATATACAACAGATAAAGAGACCATTTATTTAAGGTACCATCTAATGTTCTAACAAAGTACTTGATTATATACATGTGTAGCTTTATGCATGTTTTGGGAATGCTTTTTATTAAGATCTAAGCTCTGATGATTAAGAACATAAAAATTGGATTTAATGAATTGCAAAAATATTATATAAGAGTGACTTCATAAAATAAGTTGCAGTTACTTCCTTTCCACCAGCTAAGACATGAGTTACAAACCATGAAGTCTGTGTGCACTATTCAACTATATTTAATCCCAAAAACATTAACTAACAAAACAACAACTAGAGGCTTTCTATAACACTATCAAAAACTTGGGAGATGCTTTTTTTTTTCTTTTTTTTTTAGGGAATTTAATATCCTTATTGAATAGGATACATTTTAGGTAAGATCTCTACAGTACCTTCTGTTTGATACTACTGTACCACACTATCACTGACTACTTGAATTCAGAAGACAATAAATTAAAACTGACTTTAAACAAAACATACATTAATAATATATTAACATTTAGCAAATAGCATTGACAGTTGTGCATTCAATACATGGTAAATTAAACTAAAATGAAAATACCGTATTTGACATGGTCATTGACTATCCAGATACTGTAATCATTGCTTTGTTCATAAAAATATCAATATTCCATCTGGTTAAGGTTATCACTTGAAATTAAAACTGGCATACAATAAGCCCCTGCATACCTTGGTAATATAAATTGCATTTCAAAATCACAAAATCCCTGCACATCTTCCCCCCCACCCATCCACAAATTAGCAGCCAATGCCTTGTTATCCACCTAAAGACATGATAATGATAAAAACAAATTAATGACTAACACTCACCTGGAGATAGACTGTAGTGATGAATGTAAAGAGAGGAGTGATAAGGTTCTGCATGGCTTAATGGTTGATGAAAGGAAGAGCATGATAAGTCTTGTTCAGCAGTAAATAATAAGGTAAGGCTGCTATTCCTCCACTTCAACTATAATTGGACTTGTTTGTAATTAATGGAGGTCATGTTTGGCTTGTTTTTTCTGCTGTTAACTTAAGCAAATTATTCAATCAATTTTAAATTTGGGGCTGGTTACTGAATTTTCAAATTAGAAAATGCATAACATCTTTAGTTCAGATTGTATGCTTTATGTACTTGGAAATTTAACATGATTCTATATATTATTGAATGGAAAAATACAGTATTATAGACAAGACTGTGTAAAAGCCCATTTAGTATATAAATTTGATTTCAGTGTACAGTAATTACAAGATTAACTATTCCTGTACTTCAGTTTACATAATAAAATACTGTATACTGTACACTCATACTAGGAGACATTTAATTTAATTTAGTAAGAATGATAATTATGATTTACTACTGTACTGTATATGCCAGATTAAATTTAAAGAGTACATTAAATTTAAATAAGTACTGTATGAAATCAAAATTTAAGATGATCTGTGATCAAGTAATTATGGCTGAAACTTCCAAAGGTAACTAACTGTGAGTGGCCTCACTGTCCTCCCATACTGTGAAAATTTGAGCATCGCATTTCAAAATATATGTATGAGTAAAAATACATTTTCTTAAATACCCGGTAGTTTATAGTGAAATAGTGGCCCTACATACCAATGACTATGATATAGCAGGGGTTTACTGTACCTTTCAATTAAATTAATTAGGTTTCTACAGTTATTTCATAGGTTAAAGGTTTTACACAAGTTTTAATATTTTCATACATTATTTTCCAAGCTTTGGCTTTGAAAGGACAGCATACAATAACAGTTCAATTTATGATAATTTTCAAAACAATATTCAGGTAGAACATTGGGTTGGCCAGGTTTATAAATCAGATCCACTTAAAACATACACTTTGTATTCACATTTTCTTGAAATATACTTTATTAAAAGATAAGTTTCCATCTCTTAAATATGAGTTTGATTTTCAAAACCGATTTCCAAGTTACTATGAATCCTTCCCAGTATGGCCTTAATCATCCATGGAAGCACTACAGGCCACCTTGTAGTATAAGTCCGTAGTCTCGCACGCACGAGCACACACACACAATATTACCTCATTATCTTATTGACCACTGCTATTTTGCCTTTCTCAACTACAGTTTTCCACTTGTTTACACTTACAAAGAAAAGATTACATGAAGAATACTGTTTTTTATTTTATTTCTTGGTAATGTATAAACAAGTGGTACTTGCTTTGCCTAATAGCCAAACAAAATATAAAGTTATTCATCTTATATTTTGAGAGGCTGGGAAATTTTAGATTATAAGATATTGAGATGGTTTCTAACTTTAAAAGAAATTATGAATGAATAATGAAACAACCCACTCTGGACGTGGGGAAAAAACCTGATGATGGTGACTCACAATGAAAAATAGTCACTAAAAAAGCTCATATACAAGACAGCATTACTACGTTAATAATACATAATGATCCCAGTAGCTTATAAGATAACCAGTTAATTTAACCATACTGCCAGCAGTAGTATATCTTTAGTTTCTGACAACCACTGCATACATCATATTATGTCTGACTTGATTTCATTAAAGTATGTCCAGCAATACTACATTATATTCAGACCAAAAAGTAAAAGAAGACTGTAAAGAACCGTTTCAAATTAATTCACTGAAATTAAAATAACATCCTTTATGCAGTTTCTTATAATTTGTGCAGTGGTGACTCTTAGGTGAGGGGTTAGTTTAGCCTGGGACACTTGATGTGGTGAATGGCCAGCTCAACACCACAGCCTTGCCACTGGACTGAACCAGTGTCTCATGGATAGGAAATGCTACCAACTGAGCTGTTGCAGTTTAAAAAAAAAAAAAAAAAAAAACAGTATGCTAAGAAAAAAAGTTGCTTGAATGTTAACCACATCAAATGCAAAGCACATCAGAATACAATATACTGTACTAAACAATGAAATCAATGTTCAGCATATCTTTAATCCCACATAACTCAATCATAAGAAAATTATGGACAAAAATAAAAATATATGAACCTCATGACCTATTCCTACTTGTATCACAGTCAACTTGCAACACCAAGACATCCATCGCTAGTAAGTAAACAAAGAACTTTATTGCCACCGTGTGTACAGCTTCACTTAAATATTTAGGGTACTGTATGTAAATTTTTAGGCAAGTGGAAAATAAAATGAATGAAAACCATTAAGCAAAATAATTTCATTATTCCAATTAAAAAATATAAAGGTATCCCATTAAAAACCTGTCACTAATACAGCACACTTGAAAGCAGTGTACAGTACAGGTACTTCCCGACTTACAACCGACTCAACTTACGACCACCCGCACTTACGACCTGCCTCAGTCGTACCAAAATGTGGTCAAATTATGTATTTTTGAGTCCCAAAGTCAGAAAACAGACAAAATTTTCATCTGTAATTCACTTTAAAATGGCTGGCAAGCTTAAAAGTGAGTGTTTTGTGGTGCTGAGAAGAAAAAGAGATCCAAATTTTTGATTTTCTGTGTTACTTAAGCATTTCCGACTTACGGCCATTTCGACTTACGACCCGGATGTCGGTCCCTCCGTTGTAAGTCGGGGAGTACCTGTATATGCACGAACAGGGATGGACCACACATGAAGATTATATTCAAATATGCTTGTTTAATGATGCTGAACTATACTGAAAGAACTTATTTCTCCATTCAATTATCAGAAAGTAAAGTAAGTGTTTTGATATACAGGTTGAGAATCACTTATATGAAATCCTTGGGGCAGAATGTGTTATGGATTCTGGAATTTTATCATATTCAGCCTGAACCTCTCTGGGTGACCTACCAGTCACCCAAAACTATCTAACACCTTTTTCTTCTTGAAGCATTTGAACTACATAATTATCGAGACAAACAACCTACAACTAAGTGCCTAACCGAGTAAAATTATATCATAGCCCCTATACAGTGTACCTTATACCAGGATATCAATTATATAAATCTGTACAGCCGATTTATAGCAGCAGTTACAGCAGCAGCACAAATCTTTTATAAATACAGAATGACAGCATATTAAATTAGATATTAAATATATTTAATGTTTCATTTTTTACATGAGCATTAATTTTTTTTAATAAAGAATGTTTCATTACACAAGTTTTTAAAGGTTTAATAACTAAATTTAATAAAGGCAGTCAATTAGCTGATGGAAATACACTGACAGTTCCCCTATTTCTCAATACAGTAGCTGGCAGCACAAGTAGACACATTGTCTGTTAGCAGATATTTCTAATTATTGTACAGTATCAATATTTAGTATTTTATTGCCTCCCACAAACTGTTGAAGGTCTGTATGCAAAATACTTGTCTGTGAATAATAAGGGATTACTGTACTCTTTAATGGTATTCAATATATAAGTTATCAAGATTGTATGTAAACAGTGTATCATATGTAATTAGCTAGTAAATGTCCAGATGGTCAGGCATATTCAGTTCAGCTCGGGTCAGCTGGGTGACCAATATCACCTGCATCCTAGAATTTTCTTAGGTTTTCAAGAGTTTTTTTTGTTTTGGGAATTCCAGATAATGGATTCTCAACCTGTAATTACTTGAAACTAAACAATAACAATTTTGTCCCTCTACAATGCAAAATCTGTAAATTATAATGAATCATGACCAAAAAATTGGACAAATATAAGGTATTAATTTAACCTGTCAATTATTCTGTATTGAAATTATACATCAGTGTCTACTTCTGTGAAAGATAAAATCTTTGATAAATTATTAGATTTGATGTTTACAACAGTATAAACTGTAGGTTCCTAACACCACCAAAATAGAAACTATAATCAGAGTACTAATGCTGTACAGTGATAGACTTGGATGGACACTTTTAACTTTTCAGCTATGTAAAGGTGTGGTGGATTCATGGGACTACTATATATTGAATCATGGCTGTTAATGCCCTCTGATATCAAAGTATGAGTTACATCTGAATATGTAAGAAAGTAAAAAAAAATACTGAAAATTCCATGATCTACACTTATGTTTTACTCAATGCATATCAGATCAGCAGAGACATACTCACTTTCATGCATTACCAGGACAAGCACAGAAATTAAACCATGCAGCTATTATTGTTTACTTCTGTAATGATATGCCTTTTAAATTGTATGCATATTAATAATAATAGTACACATAATAGGAATAATCTTCTACTGTAAAAATAAATAGACATATTAGACCTTCCAGTTTGACTATATGACCATACAGCTACAGGTACTTGTCAACAAATGGAATTCCAACAGTAACTTACCTCCTCTGTAAAACCTCTCACTCCTCTAGAGCAATCATGACAGAAGTGCCTCTAAGCCATCACTCCACTATGTATTTGTCTTGCCCTCTTTATTCCCTCTCCTCCGTTAACATATGTATATACATAGCCTGGTTCTTCTCTCACTGAATAAAGAAAAGATTTTATCTTATTTCATCACATACAAATGTTTTCTTATGGACAAATATAAAGGATAAGGTAATTTTAATTCAGGGAAGGTATATAAATATTTTGTTTATTTAAATACACAAGTGTGTATCCTTAAATACTATAAACACTAATTTTAATACTGCTAGTTTAAAGTGCATAAATAGAATATCAAAAAAATATCTATTGGATAATTACATTTGTCTGAACCAGCCCAACACTGTGTACCCTTAAGATAGGTAATACACTGGAATGAATGAATAAATGCTCCACAACCTTTCATTTATATATTGAGTTGGTCCACTTTTGAGTCATCTGAAGCTTAATAAGCATGTGCTACTCGCACCATCATTTCCTCAAAAATGTCCAAGTGCAAGTAGAGGAAATCTATTCAAGCTTCTAAATCTTTGCGGGAGAACTGCAAGCTAATTTCTACACGAACTCTCACTGAAGACAAACACTAGTTTTATTTTCTTCCCTTGCCAACCTTTTCCTACTATGATACAGGATGGTCAGAGTGAATATTCGCACTTCATTCACTATCATTTGTTCTTTCTAATGTAATGTAATGTACTTTTATTCAACTACTGTACAGTATCAATTAAACATCCTCACATTTGCCACCAAATAACAAGAGGTTAATATACATTCACATATCTTCATTCACCTTATAAAGGGACTAGATAATTTACATCATGACCTTTTTAGTGTGACTTACTGATGACTGTAGGGTAGTTGACTTTGTTTCTCAAAATCATCGACAGCCACTGATATTCACCACCACAAAATGATGACAAAGTTTTGCACTGTTTTGTAAGTATAAGATCTTTTGTATCTTACAAAAAATAATCAATGGCTCAACATGAGACATTTATTTATAATTATATATATATATATATATATATATATATATATATATATATATATATATATATATATATATATATATATATATATATATATATATATATATATATATATATATATATATATATTATAGAGTTAATATTAACTCTTTGGGGGGGGGGAGGAATGTCTGTCAAGGTTATTATTGACTTTTGAGGATGGAAATTTTCTACAGTTACGTAACACACTCAGAGGTCTACATGAACCTCATTTTCATGTGTGTTTTTGTAAACACTATCACTGTCATGATCAGGGATGTCAGGTCCTATGGTAGGATCTACTAGAGTTGCTTCTTGATCCCGGTGAAGAGGTTCTGATGTTGCTGCTGATGATCTGCGTTGAGATTCTGCTTCATGTAAATTTTGTATTTGTCTTAGGAGTAACTGAAGTTTGGACGCATGATGTGGAGGTATGGAGGTGTGAAGGGTGCGCAAGGATTCTTCAGCCTAAAATAAAGGAAATAATAATTATAATGCAAGGTACAAGATCAGGGAAGTCCAAGATTTTCAGTAGTGGGCCACATGATCAGAAATCCAAATGGGTGCGAACCGCTTGAATCAAACCGCCAATCAAAAATATGTATTTTTTAGCAGTAATTGCAGGTAATCAGCCTTATTCATATCAAAGTTATTGGCCGAGTTCTAATACTGACCAATTTTCATAAAGTTATTGAGAATACTGAACTATTCCGGAGAACTGTGGGGTGTATTCAGTCAGGTTACATCTCAATTCTGAATCCAGGATTATATTACTGATGGCATTACACCGCTACAGTTAGGGTTAGGTCATAATGACCTACTTGATGTGTGATAATAAGGTGAAAATATATAGCCAGCAAGCCGCACATTAGACGCCCCTATACGAGATGAACCTATCTCAGTAAAATAATTACCATTAAAGTCACTCCTTCATCTTTAGATATAAAAGAATTTATTTATCAGCAAAATTTTAAGTTAAAAATACTACACAACTTCATAATTTTCAATCCTTTTTGTAATATTTTGCCTTTAACTACTTATGAGCTTAAATTCTCCTCATAAACTGATTAATAATGAAAACGATATCTTTCTTGAAAATCCCCAATACTGTACGGGAATACAGATACCTCGGTTAACGCAAAAGGATGCATTCTTAAAAGTCATTGAGAATATCACGGCAATTTCCCCCATAAGAATTAATGTAAATGGGGGGGGTGGGATGCATTCCCAGATGGTAACTTTCACCACATATTTTTTTTTATATACCTGTACATTCCTCATTATCCAAGGCTATTAGGGACTAGGGTTGCACATATACTGTAGTACAGTACCAGTAAATGTGAGGAATAAATAAAAATTATACCAATAAATAAAAAACTAAAAAAAACTACACTTGCGACACTGCTCCATCCTCCTCCTCCTCCCACGATCCAGGGGCTAACTACCATGCACGTAAAAAATTATTCCTTTTATAGTTTTGACCTTATGACAATCTTTTCTTTTATTTATTATTTATTTTCTTTTGCACATTCTGTAAGAACAATTGTGTGTGCATATAATTGAGTAAAAAAAAAAACAAATAAACAAATAAATAAAATTATGAATATTCTACCCCAAAATATAAATTTAAAATTAACAATAATGCAGCTCACAGCTTGGCCTGTATGGGGAGGCTGAGATTCTGACATTTAGAAATGAGAGTAAACATTTAACTACAGTACCATTTACCATGACCATAAGAAGAATTCTAAAACGATTGGCGTGTTTTTTCATGCCATGGTTTGGAAGTATACTGTACAGGTGTGGAGTGAGCGCCTCCTACGTGTGAAAATTTTCACATGCAAGTTCCATGTAAATGGTCCCATTGAACTTCATTAATTTCTAAACTGTGCAGGTCTTCACATGTGGGGGGGGGGGGACACTTGTAGCGGGCTTTACTGCAAAACTTGAGAGCTGCAGTTTGTCTGCGCAGTTTCAAATATTACTGAAGGGTACCATGAATTTTCTTTGTGAATAAGCAAGGGATGCTTTGCAAATATTGAATAGGGGTGTTATAATATCAACTGTGGATAAGCAGGGTTTCGAATAGTGAGGTATTTCTGTATTGCCAACTCTTTGCAGTATATAATTTTGAAAACTACTCTTAAAAATCCCCATTACTGTTCACTCCTCACAGTATAACATTTACACCAACCTTTCTGAGAAACCCTGCAGCTTCTTCAATAGATTTTCGCCATCTTTCTACCTCTGCAGCATGAATTGCTTCCTGTTGCTGTAGTATTCGTACCCACTCCTCCAGGGGGCCACCAACAGTTCCAGATCTGTGAGAAGACCATATTGTAGATTTGGGAGAAATAATACTACATGTAAAAAATGGTACACTGAGTCCCCATCCCCCTCCCAACCACCACATTTCATTGATGGTTGCTAATCTTCATATGATCCAATAATTCTAAGAGTAATAAAATTTTCCTCCTTATTGAAAGAATAATGCCAAGTGTTAATCTACTTGTGGCACTTACCTGAACATACTAGGATCCAGAGTCGGGTAAGGAGAGGAACGAAGGAACATTTTCTCCTCCAGTGCCCAGAGTTTGTAGTAGAGCAGAGCATTGAGGGTTAACAGAATAACGAGAGTTGCCACCACTAGTCTAACCGGACCTTCGTTTGATGATATAGTGTTGTCTGGTGTAACAGTTGGTAGTGCTGAAACAATACAAGTTTTGAGGGCTAGTATAAAGAAAATACCAAATATTAGTTTCTCAGCTTTACAATAATATTCTGCCATAATTTTTTCCCCAGCTTATAGGTACAGTACAGGTAAATGTTATTTTTAAACACAACTATAGGGTGCCACCCCCACCCAAAAAAAAAACGAGTATACACACCGCCTTACTGATTTTTGTGGGAATCAATTAAATGCTTGCATCAAAACAATAACTTTGTCCTCACTTGTGGGAGACCTTGCATATCAACAAGTGAGGACAATGTTGCTGTTGTGCAATACAAGTACACTCAGCATTCCCAAAATACCATGAAAATCTGGATGGTAGTGTGTATACAAAAAGAAGCCAAACAATCTACTAGTACTGTACTTATATATGACAAACAATTATATCAGCTGCAAATTATAATATTCTACAATACTGTATTTATAATTTATACTAAATATCCAAATAAAACTGCAAAACAAGAAATCAATCATTCCCTACTATTACCTTTTGGTCTACTACCACATCACAGCCAAAAGGGACTCTTATCTCGTGAGTAAATACTTCCCCCATAAATCACAGTATCAAGCTTTCTGATCAAACAACCAAATGATATACTGTATAGCAAAAAATATAATTAATATTACTGTAGAATCATTTAACCAGTGAAGGAGTACTTTTTCTGGACACAGCATGTACAGCAAATTTGATTCATTCTTCACCTGGCCTCTGTGATTCCACAAATAAATTAGTAACATTTTGTTAATTCAACTTACTGAGTTTTCTGGCAGGCATCTGTGTTGATTTGTGTATATCCTTAACCTTATCTGGGTAAACTTGTGATGGTAGAAGCACATCAGGAGGTTCTCCTTTGCTGCCAACTCTTCTTCTTCTCCGTCGAGTTCTCTTCAGGTTTGTGCGGTCAACCTCAGCCAGCAGTGCAGCGTTGATATCATTCAGAAGATTTTCAACACCATTATATGCATTCTTATCAATAACTCCTGTAAATAATAACATTTTCATAAATTATAATTAACACTACATAATTCAATTATTAACCCTTTCGAGGGCAGTATTGCACTTGCGTATTTTATTTTGGCATTAATTCAGCTGAGAAAACCCCCTGCCCTCTAAAGGGCTAAAGCCTATCTCAATTAGTAAATTTACAGAATTATAAAAAGATCACTTGCTGAGATTGAAGTGCTGTATGACAAAAAAAAATATATATATATATATTTATTACAATCAGGATCCAAAATACAGTACAGGTTGACAATCCCTTATCCGATATCCTTGGGGCCAGAGGCATTTCGGATTTTGGAATTTTTCGGTTTTCAGAATGGTTATTTTTTTTATTTATTTATTTTTTTTTTTATTAGCCCACTCGGACATAGATTACTGCCCCACATCAGGGCCTGAGGGGCGAAAATATAATAAAAATTATTATTATTTTATTACTACATTATTATTATTATTATTACAGGTTGACCATCAAAACCCAGCAATCGATAAACCGGAACCTTCAGTTTTCCGGCATGGATTTCAGAGCGCATTTTCAAATATTTCTTTGTTTATTTAATGAAGATATATGTTTTAGCTCATAAAATTCATACAAATTACCCGACCAGAATATAATTTACATTGCTGGAATTCTTACAATTAGATGATCATTTTGAAAAAAACATCATAGATTTTGCATTAGACATACAAATTTTAGATATAATGTTTACTCTGAGTAAATATGTTATCTTTTGTGCAAAATATATCACATTTATATTCAAAATATTCCTGGTCTTACAAGGAATCCAGTAATGTCAATTATATTATCCTAACTTAAGTGTTTAATTTTCTTTGTTTAAAGGACTGTACAGGTAGTCATTTTCTGTTAAACTTATACAGCAAATATAAACATCAGTTTTCCGGCATTTTCGAAAATCCGGCACTCCTCAGGTCCCGAGGTTGCCGGATTTTTGATAGTCAACCTGTATTTTTATTATTATATTATATTAATATTATTATTTTTATTATTATTATTATTATTATTATTATTATTATTATTATTATTGTTATCATTATTATTTTATTTTGGTGTATTTTTATTAAAAATTTTATTTACTATGAATAATTATTATTATAATTATTATTACTACTTGTATTACATTTTTGCCCCCCAGGCCCTGATGTGGGTCAGTGATCTATGCCCGGGTGGGCTAATCCCTGCTAAAAAAAAAAAAAAAAAAAGCCCCACAAATTTTTTTTCCGGTTTTCAGAGCTTTTCGGATAAAGGGTTGTCAACCTGTAGAGTACAGTATTCATAGCATTACGCCATGTTGAAAGTTAACAAGCATGGCAATAATTCTTACATCACTACTAAAAAGTACAGAAAATGTACTGTACTATACAGTATTACAATACAAACTAACAGAATTACTTTATACTTTATCATGAACTCAAACTCAACCAATACAAAAAATATAGTTCTTATAGTGCCAAACAAATTAATTTTCCACTTAGAAATGACAATTACCTTTCATAAAGCCCCAAACATTCTTCTTGTACTTCACTTGCGACCAAACACTAATCCTTGTTTCTGTGGCAGACTCACGGGTCAGACACCAATGATTGGAAACAAAGAAAGAGTCTGCATATGGGATACCTGCATTACAAGCTTCAGCGTCAACTGTGTAGATTTCTCCATGTTTACTGAACTGTGACACAACCTGAAGATACATGTTGGTGAAGCATTAGATATACTACTGGTATAAATTATGAAAAAGATGTGGCACTATACTACATATGGGTGAAAAAGCTGTGGTATTACTGGGTGCTTACTGGAGAGAGAAAAAATATCTATATTGTATCAAATATTAAACATCTTCAATCACAATCAAAATTACTAATTAAGACAACAGGGTTTTTTATTCAAGAAGGATTGTAAAATAAAACCCCAAAAATCTTTGTCTAAATTGGCTTAAAAGAATCTGACAACCCTTCTAAATATGTATTTTTTATCTCCATTCCATATTACATTACCATACTTCCTTTTACTTCTAATTTCTTCCAATTTGATATTCTCTATACATTTCTACAGTCATTACAGGCCATCAACACATTCCCTCCTACTTTCATTTATGGTACCCAATACATGCAGTTTCATTCAGTATTACTCAAGAAACTACTCCATTTGAGGAGTCTGAAACATTACAGATTAATTATTTTATATATACAGTATAAAAAAAAATGCTGCTTTTTCCATTATTCCTGTAGTGATTCACTATCTTGTTTCAGCTCTTCTTAAACCCGTCAACTCCAATAACTCGGAAAATTCTATCCATTTTTGTTTGGGAATCAAACTGAATTAATATTAATCACAGAAAAAGGATTTACTAGGTGTGTAAATTGAGGATGTGAGTGAGTGTGTATGAGTAATTATAATTGATACAGCTTTCTCCTGTTGCTTTTCTACACTAGTCATACACTGCCCTCCAATATAATTTCCCTCATTCGTTTTAAGTTCCTGTGTCCCTTCATACAGCCCACAGAAAAATAGAGGAGTGAAGGTAAGAAATACAAGGATAGATGGGAAAATACGTGACACTTACTGACATTATAAAGTTACATATATTTACCAAACCTAAAGAATCACAAACTTTCCTTCAACTCTTGCGTGTTTACAAATTGTTTCATAATGTAGCCAGCATTCACATAACTGAAGATGGGTTAGCTTAATCTGGAGCTTTAAAAGAAATAACTGTTCTGTTATCTGTATTCCTCTCTACTTTCGTGTGTGTGCCAATTTAAAGGATAGAGAGATCATAAGAAAGTGGTTAAGGTGTATGACAGGTGTAGGAAGTGACAAGAAAAAATTAAAACAAAAATAAAACTACTACTGTATATTGGATGCATACTTCTTTATACAGTAAGTCCCTCCTAAGTCGGACTTCCATTAGTTGGAAACTCCCATTAGTCGGACTAGGGTCTGTGGATCTGCCATCACTCGCCCTACACCTCAGTCAGAATTGATGGTTACCCCTGATCTGCCACCTTGCATCTTCGATTCAGATAGTGATTAAACCAAGAATATATGCTAGTTTTAAGTGTAACTATACAGATAAATATAAGTGAAACTACATAGTATGTGAAATTACAGTAATGAAAGTTTAAGTGCCCCCTTCATTTTTCTCGAAATCAAGATTATCTGCTACAATAATATCACAATTCATCCGCTACACTATAAATAAGTGGGGATAACTTTATTTTTGTTTTAGGATGTGATTTTTCCAGCAAAATGATGGTCAAAATTCCCGGGAGGGGATAGGGGATATGTGTGTGTGTGTATGTGTGTGTGTGTGTGTGTGTGTGTGTGTGTGTGTGTGTGTGTGTGTGTGTGTGTGTATGTGTGTGTGTGTGTGTTGGGGGTCCACATAAGTTGGTCCTTCGGACTAGTTTGAGCCCCAATATACAGTAGTCTAACTTACTGTATTCTCAATTTCTATACAAAGCATTTTAACAAATTAAATCTACTAATTTTAGAAAAAGTATTCTACAGAAAGTAATATTTATTCATTTCTATCCCTGTGGCTGAATCCTGGTCTAGTAAATTGTAAATATATATACAGTGGGGTATGCTATAACGAATCTAATTGGTTCTAGAACCTTGTTCGTTATAGCATTCGTTCGTTATAGGATTAATCCGTTCCAGGCCCCCAAATACAACCACTTAACACTGAAAAATATAATATAAAATTGTAAAAATTGTAAAAAAGTGCATAAATATGCATCTAAACCCCTGAAATAAAGAATATCATTAATACTTGTAATAAAAAGAACAATAAATTAGTAAAAAAAAAAAAAATTTAAATAATGTTCGTTGTAGGAGTTTCGTTCGTTATAGCATTCTCAATTTTATAGGTAAAACCGTTCGTTATAGGAATATTCGTAGTAGGATCCGTTCGTTATAGCATACCCCACTGTATGATCATTTCTGTACCAGTCTTCTTCATGTGTAAACCAACCATTTTAACCTCAGTAACTTCTACATCTGCTGTCAGTACAATCACCTTTTCTCAAGTACATAGTGCCTACATGTGTATGTGTGTGTGTTTTCCATATACAGTGAACCCTCACTTTAAGCGGTTAATTCAACCCACAGGGTACCGCGTAAAGTGAGAAACGCGTAAAGTGAACAATATAACATATGGGATTAATTGAAATAGAGACCGGGCCGACCCCCAACTCCACTTTTTCAGACACAATACCTACGTTGTGGTAAAAATAACTTCTTAATTTTATGATGGTATGCACACACAATTAATAATTAAGAAAAATATCAATAATATTAGGTTTTTTAACACTGCCCTCTGCCTTGGAACCAACCCCCCCATCACTGTGTGCCCAGCCATCTTTTCTACTAATGTACAGTGATTTCTGCTATAACGCGTGTTTTGATAACGCGAATTTGCTCTAACGCGATTTATGAATTAGGAACGATATTTGTATAACGCGAACGCTTGTTTGCTATAACGCGATTTTTGCTTACTATTTCTCCAATTTTGTGGTACAGTGGGGTATGCTATAACGAATCTAATTGGTTCTAGAACCTTGTTCGTTATAGCATTCGTTCGTTATAGGATTAATCCGTTCCAGGCCCCCAAATACAACCACTTAACACTGAAAAATATAATATAAAATTGTAAAAATTGTAAAAAAGTGCATAAAGATGCATCTAAACCCCTGAAATAAAGAATATCATTAATATTTGTAATAAAAAAACAATAAATTAGAAAAAAAAAAAATTAAATAATGTTCGTTGTAGGAGTTTCGTTCGTTATAGCATTCTCAATTTTATAGGTAAAACCGTTCGTTATAGGAATATTCGTAGTAGGATCCGTTCGTTATAGCATACCCCACTGTATTAACTGTGAATATAGTAAAGAAGAATATCAACAAGAAGCGTTCTGGTGATAGAATTCCTGGTGATGATCGTAAAAGAAAGGATATAACACTTGAAGAGAAGCTCGATTTTATCAACCTCAAAATCACCCTTCTCCCCCATCAAGTAAAGTGTTACATTTACTGTATGATTTCATTATTAGATATGAATGTAACATTTATTTAGACTGTGCTATCCTTTGTGTTAGGCTAACTACTAAATTTTCTCGATTTTGAGTAATCTGCACCTAACCCTATTTTCTCCATAAGCCCTGTTATTTCTATTACGCGATTTTCTATAACACGATATTTTACAAGAACACAATTATCGCGTTATAGCAGAACTACCTGTAAGTGTTAAAAAACCTAATATTATTGATAATTCTCTTAATTATTAATTGTGTGTGCATACCATTATAAAATTAAGAAGTTATTTTTACCACAACGTAGGTATTGTGTCTGAAAAAGTGGAGTTTGGGGGTCGGCCCGGTCTCTATTTCAATTAATCCCATATGTTATGTTGTTCACTTTACGCGTTTCTCGCTTTACGCAGGCCTCCGTGGGTTCAATTGACCGCGTAAAGCGAGGGTTCACTGTACTGTAATGTACAGTACAGTAATTGACCATTCTTGATAATTAATTTTCTTCTTTTTAATTAATTCATTCTCGTGGATTTTTTCTTAGAAGCTAGAGGTGAAATAGTCTATAAACAACCTACTCTCTAGAGTCTAACTTAACCAAATTTCAATTACATGTACTGTACTGTGTACAGTTACAAATTACTTAATACTGTATGGAACAAAATCAAATGTGAAATTCCTGTAAAGCATAAGGTCTTCCTGCACCTTGCTGCCTTTACCTTCACATTACAAACCAACTTTGGCTTCAAGAGTTATGCCAAAGATGTGAAAGTAATCTTACCTGTGTCTCCGTAACATGAGAAACTTTTGGTCCAAAGCTGTTAGGAGGAAGCGTGAGAGTGTATGTAACCTGACGGAGTTTTTGGTTAGTTTCTGGATTACTCTGCCACGGACTTGCAACAACATCTGGAAAAAGGTAAAATTAATTAATAACTTTCCAACCATTTCCTGTCAGACCAAATATAAGTGCCATTGTCTATGCCCTGAGAAGTTTTTTTTTTTTAATATGAAGATTATTCAAGAATATTGTATGACTACCTATTAAAGAATCACCTGAAGAGTAGGCCACCCCATTTATTTCACCTGAATATTAACCACCCTAACACTAAAGCTATTCTAACCCAACCAGGTAGCGTTAGGGTGGGTGGTTAATCCTGAGGTGAAATGAATGGGGGCCTAATATTAAGGTGATCCAAATTATCCTCTAATAAATTATTCCTGTCTTATGTAGATTAGAAAAGTAATTTTTTTCATAGCTGACCTCCCTTCTGCTATAGTATGGCCAAGTCCTTTTAAGAAATCTGCTTTGTGGCACTGAAGACTCTCCTTTTGTATCTATAACATTTTGGTATCTACATGTTAGCTTCTGTTTTATACATTCTATTTTTATATACCTTAATGGATGAATAGAAGTATATTATTTTTTGTTGTTAAGATGAAAAAATTAAAAATTGTAAACCAAAGTGAATGAAAGAAGTTACGAAGATCAGAAAACCTAAGGCAGTTAATTCCAAGGTAAAATAAGCTGGGTGGAGCTAATCTTCAGATAATTATCTCTAGGCTATGACAAATCCTTACCCGAAGTCTTCCTGGCAGTATACAGATCCAACATAAACTTGGAATTGGTGAACAAGAGAGTGAAGACTGTGTCCACTGGGAGAGAATAGACGGTGTTGACAATCTCACGACCCTGGTGGTGTGAGCTCTGGTTTGGACATGCCACTGATTCTCCTGATGATAAACCTGAAAAAATAAAAATAATAATAATAAAATAAATAAATAAATAAATAAATAAATAAATAAATAAAATAAATGCAGTAATACAAATAAGATGCATTTCATGCAGGTAAATTAACGAATAAATAAAAAGATATGTCTGCATATTTCTGCTATACAGGGTATACTCGTAGTGTACATTAATAATGCACATCATAAGTTGTTCTGACTGCTTAATAAATACTAACTTCACTTAAGTTTCACTGAGAAGTCAACTTAATATTTTCCTGAAACTAATATATGGCAGCATCCTCATGTATCACAACACTCCAGAAGCAACAGATCCCCTGAACACATTAAATAAATAAAGGTACTGTAAAATATATAGCATTCTTCTACATACTGTATTTGTAACTTTCTACCATATTATATTTTGTCTCCACATCTGAAGAGCAGACTCTCAATCCACTTTACCCACTCACTGATGACACCAAATCAAAAACAGTTTGTGTTGCTAATGATCCATCCTGAAATCTGAATTCTCTCTTCATATCTTCCTTACCATTCTGTTAGATCACCTGAAGATTCACTCCTCAGCTTATTTCACCTGTAGATTAAACACCCTAATCCTTACTTATCTTACCCTAACCATCCTCCTCCCTCTCCTGGTAGGATTAGTGGCTATCTTTACGTGAAATAAGCTGTGGGTGAATCTTCAAGTGATCCATTTTGGTACCACTTTTTTCATTATTGTTTTACTTTTTTCTGTTCAAAGTTCTACTGATATTTAGACATCATTCTATACTGTATTTCTCTGAACTAATGCAATCCACTGCTTGAGAAATGATCATTAATTCTAAATAACACTCTACTGCACAAATATTATTCTAGCAAGTACAGTATAAACAAAATACAAGGCATCAAATACGTAAGACGTTAGGCATATGAATAAAAACTTTTAAAAGCTATAGTACAGGTATATCCAATATCTTCTACTATCCCCCATAAAAATTATACCTACATACCCAGAAGCACCTACACTGTACAGTCATGACCACTGTGTTGACCTATGTATGATGATTAACGTACATCTAAATAATGCAAAGGTTTTCAGGAACATATCATGTATGTTGAGCGGCCACTGACTGTATACACAAAACCATAATACAGTACAAATCAACTTACATGTAATTTTACTCTCGGGTTCACTCTCTGTGGTATCAGACATATCCGTTGGGATGTCATCTTTGGGTTGTGGGGTGGAGTTGAGAGGAGTGTGGTTCTGTGGGGACTTGATGGGCGTTGAAGGAACTCTAGGAGGCTGATGGCTTTCTGTTCCCACAAACTCAGACGTCTCAGAGTCACCGCCACCACTGCTCTTTGGTACTGGAGGAACTGATGACTCATCAATACCGGTGTCTGCTGGACACGTTTCCTGTCAAAAAAACACAAATATAAGTTATTGTATTCTTTAAAATGAAACTTCTCTCTTGCACTCACACACTATTAACCCCTAAACAGTGGCAAAGGATTCCCTACTCTGCCCCCATAGTATGTGCAAATATGGAAACATCCACTGATGATGGCTGCTGTCCCTACACCTAACTTCCTCCTATGACAGCTGCTGTATAAGGTTAAAGATCAAGTCATTTGACTCGAACAATATAATTTAAACAATTGAATATTCTTGTTGATATTATAATGACTTACTGCACTTCAACAACTAAGATCTTAAAGCATGTACAGTACTCTATATTAGCAAATAATGCACACTAGTCATCAATAATAAAAAAAAGAGGAATGGACAATCTAAATATCTCATAATTATATAAAATTCTACAGGTCTTAATACAGTACAGTACAGTACAGTACTGTACAACACTGTTTATGTAGAAACCTGAGGAAAAACTTGTACCTGGTAGTTTACAGTACAGTTCAGTAGACCCTTGCCATTCTCAGGTTTGCGATTCGTGATTTATGCGATTTGCTTGCAGGCCTTTTCCCGCAGCACAACAAGTGTGTGTCCACACACACAATACAGGTAAAAGAAATTACCATCTCTAGAACAAATGGCTCCCTATCCCAACCGCAAAAATGCCAGCAACTTTAAAACTACCCTTACGCATTATTGGGTACATCCAGGGTGTCATCAGCGAATTAAAAATCCGCAAATTGTCAGAGCAAGATGTATCTCCATTAGCTGGAATCCCTTTTAACTGGAACTCTCCAACATCTGGAATTGAAATTTTCCGAAGGGGCACATTTTGTAAAAATAATTCCGAAAATTTTACCAGTACCTGGAAAATTCCAGAAAATCCTGGGGATTGGGGAGTTTTTTCTGGGTTTGAAAGATGAAAATAAGGCACATTTTCCGGAAGTTACGAGAAAAATTTACGGCACTCGGAAAATTCCGGTCATGGGGGATATTTTTCCGGGTCCGAGAGATATGATGTGCAATTTCTGTAACTTCAAGAAAATTTTTCCATTACCTGGAAAATTCCCAGAATGATGGATTTTTTTTATGGGGTTTTGAGTCTTCTCATTCTCGGAAATGCTCGGCACCAATTGTTCCAGCTAATAGAGACATCACTAATATTTTTATAAAAAAAAAAAAAAAAAAAAGTAAACATTACATAAATTCATAGTACACAGGCATTACAATAGTATTACAGTATGTAATTTTCTCCATTACAAAAATATATGTAATATATTGTACTGTACTTATTATTTGACTCAAATCAAAACTGTGGGTCCAACCTGCCCATCTCTGAGTCACCAGCCTGAGGTATCAGCTTTACCAAACCCTACCACATTAGACAAGTGAAAGTAATCTCTATTTTATGAACCTAGGAAAAATTAAAAAACTTTGCTACACTGTATATTCCTTTTCATAACCTGATAATGATCATAAAATTGATGATGATGATGATGATGGTGACAATGATAATGGTGGTGATGGTGACAATGATCGTAACAATAATGGCAGTGGCGGAGGTGGTGATGAGAATGGTGGTAATAATTATCATAACAGTAATGGTAGTAGGCAGCTACCAAACAGGGAGGTACTACCGCCTGGGAAGATATTGGAAGCATAATGTGATGTCTAATGGTAGACCCTGCTGCCATATGGCATCACAAAAATTGTGACCAAGTCCCAGGTTGCTGAACTGACTTTTTGCCTCATTTACACAATTGCAGGGTCTCAATTGTTTCTCTTACCATTGACAACATACACAACATACATATATTGTTTCTCACTCTTGATCTTTTTTAAGTTTTGTATTTCTTAATTATTATTACTTATTACTATTACATTTTCGCCCCCCATGCCCCGATGTGGGTCTGTGACCTGTGCCCGGGTGGGCTAATCCCCGTGTAAAAAAAAAAAAAAAAAGGCAGTGGTGGTACTGATGATTTCATTACTTCGCGACATACACAGTATTTCTCATGTTTACTATCTTGGGTCATAATTGTATGAAAGTTTTTGAAAGATTATTATTATTGATGGTACAGTGAAAGATAAGACAAGTCACTGTAAACGCTATCAAAATAAGGCATTCCCTGACGAGACAGAGATAAACATTCATTCAAATCTTCAAACATATTTACTTTCATCCAGGATGTACGGGATATAGAAAATGCTGGTATACTGTACAATACAGGGTATACAATTTTGTGTTCAACAATATGACTTAATGGATTAAAGATTCTGACAACTCTACAAAGACAACAGGAGTCAGTGTTCATTATGAAATTCATCAGACCCCTCCGTAGAGATACTTTTGGGGGAGGAGAAAATGCAGCAGCAGCAGTAGTAATAATAATAATAATAATAATAATAATAATAATAATAATAATAATAATAATAATAATAATAATAATAATAATAATAATAAAGAACCACAAAATACAAAATGAAAAAAAATCAAAAGTGAGGAACAATATATGTATGTTGTGTTGTCAATAGTAAGAGAAACAATTGAGACCCTGCAATTGTGTGTAAATGAGGCAGAAAGTCAGATTAGCAACCTGGGACTTCTTCACAATTTTCGTGATGCCATGTGGCAGCAAGATCTACCATAGACAACACATTATGCTTCCAATATCTTCCCAGGCCCCTCCTCCTAGTCACAGGCCTGGCATTTGACATTATTAGGGACCTGCCACTCTTTGCCATAAACAGATAAAATGTACCGGGAACTTTCCCCCCACACACTCCTCATTCTCTCACTTTATGTAACTTGACAGAACCTATGACCCTTCAGGCTTTTACGCCCTTAATGTACGAGTCATAAAGGCAAGTAGGAACTTTTCATACTTCCCTGTTGGGCGCTGTAAACGCTTCTACGCTTCACCTTGCACAGGATGTAAGGGGGTGCCCAATAAACTAGCCCCCTCGGGGGCAAATCTGAATCTTCCCAGGCGGTAGTACCTCCCTGTTTGGTAGCTGCCTAATACCTACTACTTAGAAAATGCAAGTATACAATACACACAGCAAAGATGTGAAATGTTAACTTTTAATCAGTGTGAAGAGAAAATATTTAAGTCCATTAGCAAATGCAAAAGAGCAGTGTCAACCAGGCATCAAGTGTAAATTAAAACCTCTTGAACCTTACAAAACCAATGAAGATTACAGCATGATTTAATCAACCCAGCACAGTCAAGGCCCATTGCTAATCTCTGAGAATAAGAACAGAAAAAAATATCAATTGGGTACTAGCCAATGACCTAACTTAACCTAACCGAACATTAACCTAATCTAACCCATTTTACAGCTTCACAATCAATCTACTCTACTGCATGTCCAACAACTCCGCATCCGCACATGACGCTTTGCACTGACGTGTGTGTATGCCGCCCATGCCCAGTCTCCACTAGAAGGTCAACATGTTCTGGGACGTGACCAACTCCTCAGGGTAGTAAGGTCTTCCACACACACGTCTACGGTACCGGTATTTAATGTGCGTGAAGTTGTTCCGTCTTGAGATCAGTGTGTGTGCTTGTAACCTGATTAACAGGAAAGTGTGACCTTTGGTATTTACAGAATTATCAAGGAAAGAGGAGGAGGAGAATTAGGAGAAAAAAATGAAGAAAGGGAGAGAAGGAAAATCAACCTTATACAATAATAAAATCACCAATACAGTCATCACCGGAAAGTCACAACAACACCTGCAGGTCCATAATATCGATAATCTTGAGCCGACAACATAAGGAGCCAAGTGGGAGTACGCTGACCACCACCACAATCATCAATTCAGTACAGTAGTATAAATTTATAAAACATTCTCATTATACCACCAATCTGTAAAAAGAAGTAATAATAAACTATATTTCTTCGTCACAGATACGGTACTTATGACTGGAGAAGGCAATTCACACACACGCACGCCAGCACGCACGCACGCGCGCGCGCGCGTGCGTGTGTGTGTGTGTCAGAAACGTGACCAACCACAAAATTAATTTGATTAGGTTAGATTGGGTACAAATTAGGCTAAGCTAGGTTAGGCAAGGTACTTATTGGGTTAGATTAGGCACAAACTAGGTAAGTTTGGTTTGGTACGATTGTGTCGAGGAGCTGTATGCCCTGGGTACTATTTGACATTTGAACCCAGTGCCTGGTACAGTACAACTATAATTATCTTATATGAAAGATTCCAAGTTTGTTCAACATCAAAACTGAAGATTCGCCCCTTCCCCCGTTTATATCAACTGGTAACTAAACACCGTAACGCTACATGGTGCTCAGTTAATCTGAGGTAAAACTCTTAAAGTTAGGTGTACAGTATATCGATTAGGTACATTAGGCTTGATAACACCTCTAAACCCAGAAAGATTTCGGTAAAGGAAGAATAGATGGGAGTGTTCTTTTATACCCCAATGTACAGTATAGACATCAAAGGTGACCTTCGTCACACACACACCAAACCTACGATCACTCCACCTGCCAAAGATATATTCCAAGCCCCGACACAAACCAATCCATTCAACAGCATTTACACAGTACGTCCATCAACTCTTTAAAAACTTTAATAGGCACTTCAGTCTGTCTCCTACATCATTACACTTCACTTGCCAACTGTTGTTTACGTGTTATAAGAGACTTTCTTCAATACAGTACGCAGCACGGGGACCTTCACCCTCGCTTTCTTTATCGAGTTAGGGCAGCAAAACAAATGGCGTCGCGACGTCTATCATGATTAATTTTCATGTTTAAGAAAATTCTTAATGCTTCCAACACTAAACAACAAATTATATATTTAATCTATAAAACGTTGTTTATTGCGTAGATAAATACCTGAGTTTACTAGATAATTTACAAGATCATTTCGTACTATAAAAATACATAAGGGTTGGTGCTACGGCTCGGGTTAATTGTTCAAATAACTTCCCCTTAAATATGAACAACTGGACCAGTCAAGGGTTGCAAATTTACTG